TTTGTCTTTCTTGATCAGTCCAAAAATGAGAACGTACGGTATGGAATTCAAGAAGGTAGTGTGGCTAAGGCCTACATCAGTTTCTTGGGCTTGTTTGGATATAACTTTTTCCCTTATGTCAATGAGCCTTTTGTGTTTACCAAAAGTCGAAGCCGTAGAATCGAATTATCGGTTTTCCATTTATCTTCCTTTGTAAGTTTGGCATATACCATTTTCCTATCACATGCCTGGACGTCATCGTTTCATTTTTCGGGAAAAATGAGCAATGTTTTTTTGGAATGTATTATACAAAATAATTGGATAAGACCGACTAAGCATAATAAATATGGTTAGTAGCATACAACGAGTAAAAAAAGCAGTGCAGAATACTACACAAATTTAAATAGAAATACTGATAAAACCAATATCTCGAGAGAACATGTTCATATTCACAATTTTTTTATGATATGAACTAAGATATACTCCATATAAAAAGCATAAACCAGTCTATATATTACTAATTAAGTTTATATTGGAAACACATAAAACTTAAAACAAATGTTAAAAAGGGCATCCAACGTCTAATTGATTGCCTAAGCACAAAAGAACATTTTATGAGGATTTTAATACTATCATATCAAAGCTTTTAAGTAACTGCGACCGTCAAATCAGTGGTACAGGTTTACTTTTGCTAAACATCTCTTAACGATCTCAAAGAGCTGCTGTAGGAAACGACACCGAAATCTTGCATGAACCTTAATTTCTGCTGAAAATTTAGAGTCTCTTAATGTGGAAATTTCTTAATGGATAAGTATTCATTATAAAATTATTTAAAATATGCTAAAAAAAAACTGATCCACAACTCTTTCTAAAGAGTTGCATGCAAACAAATTTTAGCAGATATCTTTTTTTCTCAGTTATCCTACTCCAAAACCCCTTTTCTATTTCAAAATGAAAAAAAAAAAAAAAATCCATTGAAATTTTATCATTTTTTAAATGTATTTTTATATTATATAATTGATTACCTAAAGAAAACAAAACTGGATGTCCACTATTAAGATTTTCTTTTTTTACACCTTTTTCATATCTCACTTGTATTTTTCAAAATAAATAATAAATAAGTATGTAATTAAACAGACAAAAAACATTTAATGTTCACTTTGAACATATCTCATTTATTGTTTGGGAAGAACCTCAAAATGGAATATTTCCTCCATTTCAAATTAGTTATCGTTTTGAAAAAATGCATCTACAATTATTTGAACGTATTAAACTCAAAATACATCCAAATACATTCAATAATTGCAGATACATTTTCCCAGAACGACAACTAATTTGAAAATGAGAAAGTAGTTTTTAGGAATCTATAAGTATACACCCTATAAATTTCTTAACATTATCACACCATACTAAAAGCTTTCACCAAACGAGATATGAAACTTATATATTATTATGAATATATCAATTTTTGTATCATTCAGTAGGTTTAGACCATGCTAAACTTCTTGTGTGTCTAATATTTTTAACATTCATGTTCTTTATATATGTTTAATGTCTTTTTAAAGTTTAGATGAAGCTCTGCTTGTCGTGAAGACTTTCTATAAGCTCGCCTCCATATTGTACTTTTTAGGATTCAAACTCCGAATCTTTTGGTATAAAAGCATTAATGAACTTTTAAGTTAATCACTTGACTAAAAATGCTTCCACAAGTGTTAAGACTTAGAATAGTGATTATGGGGATTCTTTTGATTTGTAAATAGGAGAAACATAGCTCTCTCTTCCCAAATATGGAATTTCCCCCATACGATGTATAAGAAAGATCAATAGAAATACCTTTTATTTTATTTTATTTTATTTTATGTTTTGGTTTCTCTGTAGTATTCCTAATAATTGGTCGATTGACAATTTGGCAAGATTCTTCATTAGCTAATCAGCCATATTCTACAATAAATTATCATTTAATTTCGCCAGATTTGATATTTAATCGTGCTGCTATCTTCGGATAATGAAGACTTGATGGAAAACTATATGTGACGTTTTTTTGGAATGCCTTGAATCTTGACATTTACAAGTTTAGAAATTTGATATTGATCATGAAGTTGTCGTGCTATGAATACTTTCATTATACTTGTAAACATGATTAAATTGTCATATATGAGTAAAACCAATGATCGAATCGAGTGGAGGTTCCTGAAATCAATAATGGTTAAAAGTTAAAACTAGCGTTATGATAAGATAAGATTCTCTCTTTTCTCATTCCTTTGAATTGTGTATGCTACCGCTTGTTTTCACTTTTTGCTTTCAATCCGTAGATTTGAGAAAACTGAAAAAATCACCTTGGCTTAAAAGGCTTCCTGCATATTTAGTGTATTATTCGTATTGTCTTATAGATTTGGCAATGTTAAAAGTGACTAGTCCATGCACTTGCAGTCAAACACAACTGAGATTTAAAATTTCAGCTATCATAAACGAGGATCTATTCCTCAATTTCCCATTGCTAATTGCTAATTTCTAGATTTCTATATATCTAAACTTTATCTTGAGAGAAATGTGAGTCTTGATTTGTGGAGAATACATGGGATTATCTAACCCAAGTTTGTGGTGGAGTTCATTTGAATGAGGTATTGACCTTCTAATCTTTATATGGTATATACATGGTTCTTGGACTTGTGAATATTGGGCTCTACAAATTCATGTGAACTCTACTCATTAGTATGATATTGTCGAATATTGGACCAACAGGTCAAACATGCACTATTTCTTTTTTTCTTTCTCAAAAGCTCTTATCCTAATTAAAATTAAATGTATTTTATATATTCGAAAATCATTATCTAATCTTTCGATGTGAAACTTTGGATTGATATCCTAAGAAATCTCCCTTCAAATCAAATACCACGAACTTTCTTGGCACTCATCTTGTACCACCTTCTCAATGGAACTTGTTGCTTTACCTCGTAAAACATTTCGACACAAGACACTAACACATTCTTGATCGTGATGTCACAATGAGAGTTCCTTCCACAAAGAACAAGCATCTCACACCCACTTTACTAAGTCTACCTTGTAAAAACTAGCTTCCACACTTATCCAATTATTGGATTTTGCAATCCTTTGTGCATTTATCCATTAGTACAGTGGCTAAGAGTATAAATATTTGTATGATATTTTCGTTTTAAATCAGTTGGCTAAGCATACAAATTTTTTGTTTCTGGAATCTTTCCAAAAATGCTCCATACTAAATGCAACTATATGTCATTTGTATACTAGATAATTATTGGCTAATGTTCCGATGTAAAACTTTGGATTGATATTCCTACAGTGAGGATGCAAATGTGGATTGCGATAGGTTTTCTACAACACTACTGATATTGGGACGACATGGAAGTAGTAGAGAAATTTAGACCTTATATGAAGTAACTGAATCCGCTCTCATTTTCTCATAGACCAACAAACTTTCACAATCAAAGCACTATTCGGCTTTTGAGTCATAACTCACTGGTTTTTAGACTCTAGGAAACTTGTTTCTGGACTTTGACCCCTCTTCGTTTCACTCAAATCTCCCCTCTCATCCTCTTCTCTGGTAGGATATAATAATAAGACTATATATTCATATTAGCGCTTATTCCCCGCGACAATATATGGAACTAAGATTAGTGACATACGACAAAGATTAGGACATACGACAAAGCGAGACATGTTTGCCCACCTACACCTATTGAAATGGGTTCCTCATTGACTTTTTCCTTTTTCTTTCGGAACTACTCTTTTTCCTGTTTAGAAGTAACATATTTACGAGTTCGCCATTCTTACTTAAAGTCTATTTAGAGTTAGCGGAAAAGAAGCGCTCGGGATGAGTAAAAATCCAAAGGCAGCAATGTATAAACGTAATTTCTTACTTGTAAGACATTAAATAAAATTAGTTATTAGAACTTGCGTACATTTGGTGTAACAAAAGAGAGTTATATAACTGTTGATCCATTTCCAGCCTGTCCAATAATGCCATTTTACAGCTTTTATACATATATATCTAAAGTTTTCTCTTTTGAGATCTTATTTATTTCTTAAGTTGAAATTCGTCCTAAATGAAACGGTAAGGAATCATCTCACATTATCCAGAACAAAAATATTTATAATTCGGCCGTCGTCCAAGTCATGGCATCTTAATGATGTACACATCTCCACTATTATCAAACACCAAATCATACTATATATAGACTGAGTCCATTAAAAGAAAATAATAATAATTAAAAAAAAATATTAGTAGGTAAACGACGTGATCACAACATGGGATGAGCATGAAGCAAGTTTATTACCAATTTGTTAATCACATTTACGACCTTATCATTGTGTAACTGCGTTGACCTACTATGGTAAGACACTAAGCAATTCCATGTTGTACTTGACTTACTATGGGTACGTACGTTTGATCTTTACAATGATATGTGGAACAGTGGAACTCCACAGTCTCCACAGTTCTTAATTAATTTAGACAAAAAAGTTCATAAATATTAAAAAAACACCTCAATAATCTATGAAATTGATAATGGAAAAAAAATCATTTCTCTCCATATCGGTTGATTTCTATCCGATTTGTATCGTTTAAAACAGATTATACACATCACAAAGATAACTTAAACCATCATAATACAAACAAATCAAGGTTTTGACTGATGGCAATATGGCATATTGCATAATCACTTCACTGACCTAAAATAGTTTTTCAATAGTACTGGTGGCTTTGGTACGATCGCAAAAGTCAACAATCTTGTAGTCATTAAGCTAGCCAAGCGAAGCAAACCGCCCTCTTGATTAATGTTTCACACGTTCTTATAATATCATCATCTATGATCTTCCCATCACTTTTTTGTTTTTTTCCGAAACCAAAAAGTGACAAAAACAAGAAAGACGACGAGGCTTTTGTTTGTATAAAAAGCTCTTTTTACCGGGAAACCATAACAACAAAGCTTGAGGTCAATTTACTTATCTCGACCATCAGATTGTTAAACCATTCGCCACCAACGATGGTTCTCATGTCACGATTATGCTTCTACTCTTCTTTTTTGTTCTTGTTACGGTTCGTTGCCGCTCAAACCTATTCTGAGTCAGGATCACTCAGTCCAGTTACGACTATACTCATGATCATACTCGTCAGCGTTTTCTTCGCAATTGGATGTGTCTCCGTCTGCATGCATCACTATCTCGGCCACGCTCTCGGGATCAGCGGTGGTCGATCCAGCGAACCAGGAAACTGGCTTAACGTGAGAGAGACACCACGTGGGCTCGACGCGTCTGTCATAGAAACGTTCCCGACGTTTCGTTACTCCACCGTGAAGACGTTGAAGATCGGCAAAGAAGTGTTGGAGTGTCCCGTTTGCCTCAGCGAGTTCGAGGACGACGAAACGCTGCGTTTGATCCCTCAGTGCTGCCACGTGTTTCATCCTGGTTGCATAGATGGCTGGCTCCGTTCTCAGGCCACGTGTCCTCTCTGCCGCGCCAATCTCCTCCCTGTGCCGGGTGAGTCTGTTTCTTTCGAGATACCCGGTTTAGAAAGAGAGACCGGTCAGAACTCTACCGGTTCGCCGATTGATGATGATAACCGGAGAAGGTTTTTGGGCTCTCCGGACGAGCGGTTGATTGACTCAGTGGCTCGGACAGGTAACCAAAGCATGCCACGCAAGTCCATGTCTACTGGCTGGCAATTGGCCGGATTGTTTAGCCGTACCGAACAGACGGATCAACCGGGGGAGAATCTAGACCGGTTTACGCTAAGATTACCACAAGATGTACACGACCAGCTCGTGAGCCAAGAGTCAAAAAGCCACGTGGCGTTACCTCATGTGAGGAGCCCGATAAGAGGATTCAGAACCGGAAGCCTAGGGAACGAAAGAAACTACTTCTACTTTGAACGGTTTGATCAAGACGGACGGTTAGACCGTAGACCGTTCTCTATAACCCCTCCGTACCGGACCGGTTCGATCCGGTCTCCCGATGTGGTTATCGACAGTGGCGGTAATTGTCAGGATCGTGCTAGTCCACCCAAAAGTTTGCTTCTAGCAATAAGGTCACCGTTTGATCGGTTTTTCTCTGGAAGCAACAATGTCGGTGAACGTTCGCAGCTTCCATCCAGCGATGCGAGTCCTGTGTAGGGTTTAGTAAAATTGAGTTTCTTGAGAAATTTGAGAAAAATAAGAAAAAGCTGTACATATTTTCTTTTGTTACTCAAGAAATTCAACATGTAATGCATCTATACTGCTGAAATGAAATAAATGTTTTTTTATCCCGCTCTTCTAAGTTCTAACAGTTATTAAATCATGAACATAAAGATGGCCAAAGAAGTAACAGTGTCATATAGTTCTTCAACAGTGATTCATCATGAACTTACCCAATTAAATAATAAGAATCTCTTCTCTTATCACTTTGGAGAAACCATTTTCTGATTCAGTTACAGTATTTGCTATTTAGTATATCCACACAACACAATGGTGTCGTCTATTTTTAGATGGGCTTTCTTTGTTATATGTTATGGATCTTTTGTCTTACATCACACGCATACATACTCATTGCTTGGAATACCTTATTTTGAGGTCTTATTTCCCATGTTAAAAATCGTCCTAACTCCTAAATGAAAGGGAAAGGTCGAAGTTGAATCACCTCATATTAACCAGAACAAATAAGTTATAGTTTCCGCCTGTCGTCCAAGTCATGGAATCTTAATGATAAAAACATCTCCACTAATCATCCACACCAAAGTGATCAAATGTATAAGTATTGATATAGACTGATTCCTTTAGAAGAAAAGAATTGAAAATCAGTTGGATAACGACGTGATCAGAACATGGGATGAGCATGACGCAAGTGTATCACCAATTGCTTATATGTTAATTAATCACATTTACGACCTTGTCATTGTGTAACTGCTTTGACTTGCTATGGTAAGACCACATCAAACTTTTTAAAAAAAGATCTTAATCCATGTTGAAGTTGACTTATTAGAGCTACGTTTGATCTCGTATTGATTTTAGTCATTTTACGAAGATATGCGGAACCTAATTTATTTATTTGAAATACAAAATGTCCATATTCTAAATAAGCCTAAGCAAACTTGGGATATCAAATTGATAATGACAACCTAATCGGTTGATTTATCAGATGTCAATCGTTTAAAACTAAGTGTACCCATCACCAAAATAACTTTAACTATCATAAAACCAAAAAAAATCCAATGTTCTGAGATGGCATATTGTGATGGTGTGGTAAGAAGTGTACCGTCTATGATTAAACAAATGAATGAAATGGGACACGAAAATGGTACAAAATATTGATGCAAAAATAATAAATAAAATAGATGGTACACAAAACAAAAGCTGTGTGTGGTACACTTACAACTAAAGTCCAATAAAAATATGGCTCATACTACATACAATTCCTTTGTTATTTTTTTTGACCAAGCATTCTATTTCTGTCTTGTCTTAGTTTATTTGCTTCAAAATCTCTTAGTCTTACTGCACCACTAATTCGTATGTCACCAAAACGGAGCCTACACTTTCTAGAATCAATGTCTTCATTGCCCCATTTGTATAAAATAATTTAGCAATAGTCAGCAAACTGCATTCTTTAATTAATGTTTCACACGTTCTTAAAACGTCATCACCTTCTTTGATCTTACTTCGAGTCAAATTGCACATAACCAAACCTAATTAATTTTCAGTTATCCCAAAAAAACACTACTATTAGAAAAGTTATAAAAGTATATTGTTGCACGCAACTAAAATTTCTATTTGTCCTTCAGAATTTATAATTCACTTTTACATACATTTTTTATAAAATTATGCCTACCGTTGGGAAAAAAAAAAGAACACATATTATGTAGATGAGTTGTATTTTCGAAATTTAAAACACATGATTCCATACAATAAGTAAACAAGAAAAATGATCTCCGTCTTAAAAAAAAAACAGAAGAAAAAAGAATCTCTCTATTATTTTTATACGACAAAAAAAAAGATTCCTGCAATCGTCTTTCTTCTTAAACAAAAAAGTATAAGTGAATAAAAAACCAAAACCCACGAGGCTTCTGTTTGTATATAAGGAAAAAAAAACACTTTAACTGGAAAAACCATAACAGCAAAGCTTTGGTCCACATGAAACCAAAGGTCAAAATTACTTTTCTCGACAATCAGATTGTTAAACCATCTGCCACCATCAATGGTGATCATGTCACGATTAACCTTCTACTCTTCTTTCTTGCTACTTTTACGTCTCGTTGCGGCTCAAAGCAGCGCTTCTGACCAAGGCTCGGGGTTTAACCCAACTACGGCGGCTATAGTCTTGATCTTACTCGTCAGCGTTTTCTCCATCATTGGGTGTGTCGTCATCTTCAAGCGAAGGTGGATCGAGCAAGCTCTCGGAAGGTGTCTCGAGCATGCTCTCGGGATCAGTCACGACCAAGCTCTCGAGATCAGTCACGAGCAAGATGTCGGGCTCAACGATAGTCGTCGTCGATCCGGCGACTCGGGAAACTGGCTTAACGTGCGATCGACGCCGTCGCGTGGGATCGACGCGTCTGTCATAGAAACGTTCCCGACGTTTCGTTACTCGGCCGTGACGACGTTGAAGATCGGCAAAGAAGTGTTGGGCTGTTCCGTTTGCCTCAACGACTTCGAGGACGACGAAACGCTGCGTTTGATTCCTCAGTGTTGCCACGTGTTCCATCCTGGCTGCATAGATGGCTGGCTCGTTTCTCAGGACACGTGTCCTCTCTGCCGCGCCAATCTCGTTCCGGTCCCGGGCGAGTCTGTTTTTTACGAGTTACCCGGTTCAGCAAGAGAAACCGGTCCGAACTCTCCCGGAACGTCGATTGATGATAACCGGAGAAGGTTTTTGGGTTCTCCGGACGAGCGGTTGATTAGCTCAATGGCTCGGAAACAGAGCACCACGCCACGCAAGTCCATGTCAACTGGGAGGCTACTGACCGGATTTTTAAGCCGTATCGATTGGACCGGTCGACCGAGAGAGAATCTTGACCGGTTCACGCTAAAACTACCCCGAGACGTGCACGATCAGCTCGTGAGCCAAGGGTCAAAAGGCCACGTGGCGTTACCTCATGTGAGGAGCCCGATAGTGGGATACAGAACCGAAAGCCTAGGGACCGAAAAGAACTATTTCTACGGTGAACGGCTTGATCAAGAGCGACGGTTCGACCGTAGACCGTTCTCGATAACTCCACCGTTTTGGACCGGTTCGAGGCGGACTAGTGCCGGTAATAGTCAGGAGCTCGCTAGTCCACCGATCAGTTTGCTTCTAGCAATGAAGTCACCGTTTGATTGGTTTTTCTCTGGAAAGAACAATGCCGGTGAACGTTCGCACCTTCGATCCAGCAGCGATGCCAGTCTTGCGTAGACGGAATCACTAATATCGAGTTTCTTGAGTAATTTGAGAAATTGAAGAAAAATGTGTGTTTTTTTTTTTTACTTTGTTTTTTGTTCGGTGAAGAAATTATGTACATTTTCTTCTAATTTTCTTTTGTTTACTCAAGAAATTCGACACGTTTGAAACATGTAATAATGCATCTACTGCTGAAATGAAAGAAATGTTTTTGTTTTATCCCGACTCTTCTTCTAACAGTTAAAACCATGGAAATAAAAAGAAAGGGCTAAAGAAGTAACAATCAATGTCACATTCACGAACCAGCATGACGGAAATAGAGAACGGACCGGTAGAGAGCAGCGACATGAAGGAAACAAATCAGAGCTATGAGTAGATCATCTAGTAAACCCACAACCCCCAAGACTCCTGGCAATCGATACAAAAAAAGTATTGTAAAATGGTAAGTAATGTGAGCTGATAGAGAGAAGAGAGTATACACAAGGGATAAAATGAGGAATCACCTTCAGGAATGATATCTATTGGGCTGATTATGTAAATTGCACTGAGAATCAACTGCATCAAATCAAAATGTTCACAACATGATTTGCGTTAGTCACAAAATGTGATTGACTGCTCAAAATATGAATGTGTTTTCGACTAACCGCAATGTAAACACGTGCTCTGATAACAAGTGGAAGCGTTCTTTGAGGATCCATCATTTCTCCAAACAACCTTCTGAGTAAGAAGGGAAGGTCTCTCATCCTCTGCCAAGAAAAATTCAAAGTCTCAGGTGCATGAATATACAAAACAATAACTGAAACCATTCCACAGCATAGAGTTAATCCTTCAAAATGCAAAATTTCTTCTACCGGTCGAAATAACAGAGCCACACACACCCAATTCAAACTTCCTTTAACCAAACAGATACCCTAACAAGTACTCTATTAATCATCAAACTTGACATTTGAGAGATTGTGGAGGAAAGACGAAATGCAAATACCTGAACTAGGCCACTTGACTGTCCACCAAAGACTCTGTTGTAAGTCTCAACGTCACGAAGAACCTCGGAAACTGTAGCGTCACTTCGACCATTCACTGTTTCCTGTGAGGGAACAAGCAAACTTATTGGACGACGACACAAGGGGCATTTGCATGGCCTTAATGTTGATCCATGCCTCCATACAAGCATAATGCAATTCCCTACGAATGATTGAAATGATTTTAATTGCAGTGAAATCATATAACAATCTTTATTAGATTGGACTTATGTGAACATTAAGAATTAGCTAAAACCTGAAGCTTCCTCTTAACTAAAAGTCTAAAACCAATTCTAAACGTTACAAATCTCCACACTTCTCTGAAATTCAATGTTACCATTTAAAACTCTGAATAGTGAGTACACAAGTCGGAATCGAACAAATTGAGGAAGCAGCTTCCAAAGAAAACGAAATTAAGACTGTCACAACTCGAATTCCATAAACGAAGATTCAACAGAACATGATTCGAGATGCTATTTGCGATTTTCTCGGGATAAGTAACTGCAGCTACGACTGGATTTCAAAACGAATTCGAGAGAAGGAGAAAAGGAAAATACGAAGGAAGCAAATACTAAGAGATCGCACCGCAGAACCAATGGGAACAATTGGATTGGCAAGGAGCATTGAAATGGCCATGGCATATCGAACAAACTTCGTTCTCCGGAGGCTGATTCATCTTCTTCCTCCTCCTCCTCCTCCTTCTCTGCTATTAGTCTCTCTCGTCGTTGTTCTTCCGTCGCTCTAATTTGTATTCTCAGCTTTTTCCGTAGCAGTTAAGTATTAAGAAAATGAATATATATTCCGGTGGTTACACGTGGCGAACGATTAAGCTAATGACTGGAGAGGTCCAATCTGAGCCGTTAAGCTCCAATGCTTGATAACGCGTGGGGCCTACCTTGATTGGTTATTAACTTATTATACTTTAATTATATGTTCACACGTATACAACTTGATAAATTAGCTAAATTATGAGTTAACGATCGTTAGAAGTACTCAATTGGTCAGTCACGCTATAAACATATCGTTAATCAGTCCACTTAATCTGGTAGGAAAGTAGGATGAATAAAAAGAACAGAAGAGGCAAACAAATCAAACCGGAGGATTATTCATTTGCGTTTTCTTTCTTAAGAGAAGGATATAAGATTTTTCGAAAACGAAGTCAGAAATGAGTGGGTGAAGAACATTTATCCAGTGTACAAAACCACTGAGAAATAAAAGGTTATACAATGGCATCTCCAAGATCAACAACCATTTCATAACAACTCTCGTATCAAATTTAAACGCCCATCAAAATGTTTGGGTTTCATCTTCAAGCTTCCGCGTTACTGTTGTCTTTACTCTTCCGCTGCCTGGAATCAATCAAACAAGATCAAAATAACACTCAACTACTTGATTATTCTACTTTGTAAGGATTTCCTACACTATAAACATAAATGGACAAGTCTCTCCAATCAATAATTTTCTATTTTGTGTAGTTTCACTTAATGGCACCCCTTTTACAAAATGTGTACACATTGGCACAAGATTCAACCTAGTAACTACGATATAAGTCAAGTAAGGAGACCATTTGGTTGTTTGGGAGAGACTAGGCACTCTCAAACAAACACTAAACTGGCATAGTTCTCTTGCACCTCATGATAGTAACTATAGCTTCGACCATTGATTCTTATCAAGATACCTATTACTAATCATTAATTTCCAATAGGTAGTCCAGTGTTTGTTCAGAATGTGGAATTAGAGCTAATAAGTAATGAAGGCTGGCATTTGTTCATCATTAACTTCCAATGCGAAGAACGAAATGATCCAAGAAACTATCTATTTCGGATTTCCAGACTCAAGGCAGGACGTTAAAGGAGAAGCGAAAATGCCAGACTAACCTGAGATACAGAAGTCTCTGTAGTTGTCTTGGGAGCTGATAAAGTAGCTGAAGTCGAAGACGATGATGCATCAAAAAGACGAGAACAATCTGTGTAAGCAGAGCCAATACCGATTCCAGCACCAAAAGCAATCGACGCCCATCTTGTCACAGGACTCCCTAAGACAACACAACAGAAATTTGATTATCATAACAAACAAACATTTCAGCTTCGTAATTCCTAGATGAAAAATCATAGACCAGAATCGAATAGGAAACAAAAATACTCAATTCGATTGGGTTCTTCAATCCTAATTCTGCAATCACTCTACGGAATTCAATCATAACAGGATTGTATATGTGAACGCGATTGAATCATAATAATAAGAAGAGAGTGGGGATATTGGAAACACCGAACTGAAGAAGAGAAGACCAGCGAAGGCGCCGCCGAGGGAAGAGTAGACGACGCGACGGGCGGTGAGATCGAGACAGGCGTCCCATTTGGCGTTGACATCGGAATTGCTGTTACTCTTCGTTTCCATTTTCCGACTCGATTCTACCTTCCGATTTGATTTTCTCCCAAACCTTCCGATTCTCTTCTTTCGCGATTTGCTTCTCAAACTTTTTTCTCGATCTGACGGGGTTTGTTTCTGTGCAGGCGAAGAATCTTGGGCCGAGTATGGGCTGATAAAACCTACTGGGCCGCATAGATTCTACTCAGTATTTAACTATAATTCGATTATCTTTATCTAAAATGTTCGACTAATTCACCCAACCTGAAATGAAATCCACAAGCATAGAGAAAATATTTGTGTTGGATGTGAATTGAATTAGAGAGAAGAGAACACCACACACACACACATAAAAAAAAAAAGAGGAAGTAAATGTGTGTTATGTTCGCATCATTAACAAACAAAAAAAGGTGTGGCACTTTCTCGTAATGGCTTTGAGGCTTTTGTTGGTCCATCATGCATGCATGTCCCCTGCCTATGCACCAGATATTGTCATGTTCACTCCATTTCTTAATATTCTTTTACACCCAAATTGTATACATACGTCATCATTACAAAAACTTTGTAAACTTTAGGCAGGCATTTTAATTGGTTACTGTTTGTTTGCTGGGTCAGCTTTCAATTTCTAGGTGGAACAAATTAGGTGGTGTAGTTAAGAACTTTAATTGGTGGGGTGGATTATATATGTGAGGATAATCTATAAACATATAGATTATGTCGTTTTATATGATATGAGAATGTAATTCAACATAAGATCCTGATTTTTCAACGTTGTTTCATTTAGTCTTTTGGCATTTTGTGGCGAAGTCATGACATTAAGTAGTGGCATCTTCTTTCCAGAAAAATATTTCGGAAGCCAATAAATTTCAAATTACGTGGAACATTTACATTTGTTTTCTGGAAAATTCGTCGTATTAGGGTTTAACGTATAAATGTTTAACACACACAAGAATAATTATTCCGTAGTCGTATCCAAAGTATATCCAAGCATACTTGAACAAAACGCTGAAGCGATCAAATTTTCAATTGAACTAAATAAAAACATATCTTTAGTTTCACCCACAAGCCTCAATAAAGATTTATAAGATTGTAGGCCACTTTTTAACATCGGATAGATATTGTGCGGATGACGTTGAAATTTTGTTTTATTCATGTATTTCACAGAAGCAATATAATTGGGGACCGGAGCGGTGGAGACATTGCAGATCATGCAGACCTTTTTCCTCTTTTTATGTCGTCAATGGCACACAGCCGGATTTTGAAAATGTCAAGACTCAAAGATTATCATGATATGAAAAATACAATACTACAATATGTTTTATTTTATGAAGAAATCAATTTACTTATAACTTAGAAGAATTGCCTTCAATTAGAATGATTTAGGAATAATCAAAGTCATACGCCGGAAGCATTTAAGTGATTAAATCATGTAATGATCCAATTACATTATGTAAAGACATACAGGTTCAACTTTACACAAATTGTCAAGTAATAATGCTAGCAAAGATTTTTGAATGGTAGTCATATCTTGGCACACAAACATTTGTATATATAAGAATCATCAACAAAATAAAAAAATCGCATCACCAAAACAAAGCAAAACCATCGACAGAACACAATCCCCCTTTTTGAGGTTACAAAATAAAAGAAACATAAATAAAAACTACTAAATTAAATTAATTAACATTTTTCCCCCTCCAAATAACAAAATAACCAATTTTCTTTCTCTTCATTCAAAAGACCAAGCACATCATCATCTTTATGCTTAGGTTTTGAACCTGTATAGCACCTTCTTCTTCTTAAAAGTCTGGTTATCAATCGTGATCACGATCTTTCCCGGTTCACCAGCCTTGAAAGAATCGGTTATCACAGGCTCATCAGTTAAACCGATCTTCCTGTTCTTAGAGACGATCACGGTGTAGCTTGCCTCGTTGCTTGGCTCAAACTGAGCTCCATAGCTCACGTCCGCACCCAAAACCCTAAGCTCCCACGAGAGCGTCGAACCCTATAACAGTTGCAACACAATCCACATAATCAATTATCTTGCAAGAACATACCAACTTCTTCAAATAGAAAGTTTTTTTTCTAAAATGCATCAAACGCCAATTTCAGTCGTTTATGTTATCATGCAAGAAACAATTCAATTATTGAAATATTAACTATCTTTACTGTTCATAAATATAAATTTCAAATTGAAACGCAAATGAACGAAATTTTTCACGTAAAACTAGAAAATGCTATAACTTGTGGGTCAAAATATTGTAAAATTAAACTACAATCGAAGCCATATGTTATGTGTATACCTCAGAAGCAGGCAATTCAATGGTATGTTTAGCTGAGGATTTAACGACGGCCTCGGTGACTCCATCTTCAACGGTCAAGGCACTTTCTTTGCTTAGTCCACCGTATTTAACAGGGACTACTTCAGGAGCTACATATCTGTTTCATACAAAAACAGAGGACATTAGCTTTTAATGTGTTAAGAGAAACATTACAAAATTTACCTTATACTGTATAGTAAAAAAATCAATGCAACATAAATTACTTGAAAATGGTATCAGCAGATTTGGATGGACCAGCAAGGACCATTTTGCTCCTTGTCCTCGGCGATGTAATGATAGTTCCGAATGTTTTGTAGTAAGGAATGTACCACCATGGAACATTAATGAACAGCTGAAAAACACAACCAAAATATAAAGACCAAAACTTTAAATGTTCTTGAATCAAAATCAAGAACTTAATTTACTTTACCTCTTTGGCCACAAACTCTGGATAATTGTCTTCGAATTGCTTAACGGCGCGTCTGATAAACTGCCACAACGCTCTCTTACCAAGTCCAGGAGCGTTCCTGAAGTCACTGACGAACACGAACGAAGACTTAGCCTCAGGGCTAAAGTCAAGAGACCTCACACACTTCTCTTGAAACTGAATCCTCCATTTGAGGAACTTGGTGAGCTTCTCCTTGTCCGAGAAGATCTCCTTGTTCTGAAACTCGCCGTACGAGCTGTAGATCACCACGTGTCCTTGTTTGTCAACGCCGTGAGTGAACACCATCTTCTCGAACTCGCTTCCTTCGAGATCTTCCGCCAAGATCTCGTCGATGTTGTTGTCCTTGCGCCACTGGACTGTGTTCTTGAGCATCGTGAAGGCTTCCTTGACCTTGAAGTCGCGTGCTCGGAGGAACTTGAGGAGGATCACGTCGGATCTTTCGTCCTCGAGAAGTGGAATCCCCCAGATGGAGACTTCTTCTGGCTCCACGGAGACAGCTGTCTCTGGAAGAGTGATGGAGACGATCGATTCCTCGATTGCTTCTACGGTTTTGGCTCCGTATTCTTCATCTGCTGCGAAAGCGTTCATGATTGTTACTACTGCTGCTTTCTCTTCTTCCTTGGTAACCGGAGCAGCAGGTTTGGTCTCTACAGGCGCAGAGGTGGTTGCTTTCTCTTCAACAACCGGAGCAGCCGGTTTAGTCTCTACCGGTTTCTCTTCCTTCTTGGTCTCTTCAACAACCGGAGCAGCCGGTTTGGTCTCTACCGGTTTCTCTTCCTTCTTGGTCTCTGTGGTGACCGGAACAGCTGGTTTAGTCTCTACCGGAGCAGGAGCGGCCAAAGTTTCTTCCTTTTTGGTCTCTACGGTGGCCGGAGCATCAGGTTTCTCCTCTGTTTTGGTTTCAGCAAGAACAGTTTTTTCGTCTGTTTTGACATCCTCCTCTGTTTTCACTTCTTCCTCTGTTTTCTTCTCTTCAGCTTTCTCTTCCTTGGCCGGAGCTTGAGGTGGCGGCGGTGGTGGAGCGGTGAATTCACGCTTGTTCAAAGCTTCCCTGACAATCTCCTTAAACTCCTGCAACGCCTTCTTCTCAGTTTCCGACAATTCCGAAGCCAAATAGCCTTCCTCCTTAAACGACTCCGTTTGCACAACCTCTTTTCCGGTTGCGATCTCTTCCTCTTTCGCAGCCGTCACCTCCGGTTCCGGAACCGGCACGGGGGTCTCCTTCTCAGAGACTACTTTCTCCTCCGTGGCAGCCGGAGCAGGCGCAGTGACCGGTACAGAAACCTCCTTAACCGGCGCAGGAGTTTCCTCTTTAGTCGGAACAGAGGCAGTAGTTGAAGCAGCAGGATTCTGTATCTCTTCTTGAGCCATGACTGATTAGAATTTCTCGAAGATCAGAGAAACTAGAGAGCAAGAGAGAGAGAGAGAGAGAGAGAAATATGGAATTTTGAGAGAGAAAGAGAAGAGGGTTTTATAAATGAAAAGAAAAGAAAAGAAAAGGAAGAGAGAAAATGGAGGAGATGTTCTGTGAGAGAGAGCAAAAGAGAACAGACTGTTTCAGAGCTGTTGAGACAGCTCATAACGATACTTTTCTTAGTAGGTCCCATTTTGTTCTTCGCTCCAAACGGCCGTCTTGCTTCTCATATATTGCGCATCCCAATTTTAAACATAACCAAATTAACAACTTTTTAAATTTTTTAAAAATATTAGTAGTTAATCATCATATTCCCTTTCAATTTAGATTCGTTAGACTTCTTCTCTTATTCGATTTGGGTAGCATTTTTTATCGTGTTATTTACTCACATATACCGTACTTGAGTGTTTCTTTCATTTTATGCGCGATCGAGTTCAAAAACCTAATAACTTTTTTTTGAACAATATATCTAGTAAACCTTTGATAGGCTACAATTTACACACTACATAACCATAACTTCCAAATTAAAGGAAAAAAGAAGGATATATATAAAAAATGTATGTTTCTGAGGAAAAAAAAGTGGAGTATATTGGGAGAGCAGGAGAGGATATATGTGTTAGAAAAGCTATTCAGGTTTTCAATAAATAATGTAAAGGAGGCTTTTCCAAATCATGACACCATGTTACCATCACCTGAATTTTACATCTATGTTGCAGAACACGTTTTGTTTAAGAAAACAAGGTTGAACCGTTCCAATCGTAGAGTTTTCTTCTTTTAAAGAATGTAATATATAACCATTTTTTTTTAACTGTATGCTTTTGTTAAAGAAACGGAGAGTATGTTGTCATCTATCGACATGTATTTTCAGAGATATTTCTTGGTTAATGATTAAGATATACAAACAAAACAAAATCTTATAAGATGACATGGTAATTTTCTCTTGTTTTTTTTACTTAAAGCACGTATATGTATGTATGTTTACCATTATAAAAATAAAAAATACTTCAAGAGATATTATCTGAAGCACTGTGGCTCCGGCTCAGAATGCTAAATTTGAGTTCAACTTTATAATCATGTATGTCATGTGTCCATGCAAGCAATTTTTTTAAAACATAGTAAAATGGATCCAAGTGATCCAACTATTAAAGGGTGACCAATATGAAACCAACTTTCTGTCCGTTAATTCTAATTGTTCATATATACACACTTTCATAGTACAAAAAGTACTAGAATGTTTTTCACAACTTGTGCAACACTATCACTTTCTAGAAGTCTTGTATTAAAACATGATATCAAATTCATTATAATCAAAATTCAGTTTACATGGCAACGACTTATTAGGACATTATCTTAATCATATGCCAATATGACATGTATATGAGAGAGATCATATTATTCCGCAGATATGATACATACATTAAAATAGTCTCTTTTCTTACTAATTAGTTCATTACGCTGCAGAACAAGAACTAGAGGATTCATTCATTAAGCATTTACAAAGTAAAATACCATGAAATGAGGGGATGACACACATATAAACATCTACAGACTGCATCGCACGTAAATAAAGTGTCTAATGATTTCGTATCAATAATATATAATTCTGGACACATATTTGGTGCGTTGTGTAATCTTAAGAAATGAAAATCAAATGTTATTTTATTTGTAAATATAGATTAAAAATTTGATATTAACAGGGAAATTCCAAGAGATTTGAGCTGTCACGACTCACGAGAAGTAACAGGATTAGAATTTTAATCTTTAATAAGCAGACTGATTCATGTAGGCCTACCGCCTACACCACACACCTCAGCGTTACAAGTTACAACTCCTCATATGGGCCATTACATTAACAAAACATTTCATATGCAATTAATGGAAACGGATATTCTATATGATTTTTATGTTCCAAATGGCAACTCCTAAACAAGCGATGTGGTATCCAAAATCCAAGGCCATATATTGAAACAAATTTTGACTCGTGATCTAAAATTTTGAAAGGTATATTACCTCAACCACGTTGTTTACAACCCAAACTCTAATTTTCGAGCTGTTACAAGTTTACAACGCATACGCAAGTATTAACATCTCAACGTCATCCCTATAACTAGCATTACCATCAAATTATTGTGCATAATCGAATATCTTAAACTAGCTAGGGGAACTAAGATTGAATAAATGTATTGCTTGTTCTTTTTCAACTCTTTTTAAGCTAAAGTCTTTTTTTTTTTTTTTTTTGACCTCTTAAGCTAAAGTCTTTAGTGGTTAGAGATACATTCTTATTTATTTTTTGTTTGCCAATAGGAATTCGAATAAAATTTATGAAAAAGGCAATTGTTTGAAAATGTATGTGAGTTGATCCATAGCCTAAGATTATTATACGTTAATTATCCATTCATCATTAGCTTTTAATTTGTCAAAAGCCAAAAAAGGCAGAAACTGTTTGGTTGGTTTGTCATTGTTGGTGGTGCCGTCTTATTATTACATTCTTCCACTAATAAAATAGTACTGTTGGATTTAGTTGTGTTAGTTTATTTCTTTTGATTTGCCAATAAAGAGAATATATGTCTTTGTATCTTAACAAATGATTGATGGACAGGTACAACTTAAGCATTTGAGTTGACTATCAACAATTAAGTGGGAATTTTTCTTTGTTAGTAGGTTTTATATGTACTTTCTTGTTTTGTCTTTCCGATTTTGCACATCGTTAACCACTAAATTCTTGTTTCGTCTTTCCAATTTTGCACATCGTTAACCTATTCAGCAGTGTGTTAGCAAGGGGTTCAAGTGACTCATGTGACTTTCAAGATATTTTGTTACATAGCTACTTAATTGATGTTTCACTGATAATTTCACTAGAGACATATAAGCATGACCCCTCATGACTTTAATTCATACTTATTATGTTTTTGCATCCCTTCGATATGTTATTTTCATCTTTGCATTTAGTCATTTGATTTTTCTTGTTTTTTTAATATGAGTTTCATAATCCATTCCTTCCTATTTTGACTAAAAATTTGCATCTGCTTTTAGTTTTTTTTGGAAAAAAAATAAGAGAGTTATATCATTAACTAACAAAAACTTAGAAGATAATTTTGTTACAATTTTTGTCACTGCATGTTTTTGTTTTTCTATCGGTTTAGAAAAATGCAGACGAAGTGGAAGTGCGGTCACTAAGTATAGGCCCAAGCCCAATACTACCCGGTTTAAAACCCAAATCATAGATTGACATGAACGTACAAATAAAACGTTTTTTAAATCAAAAAATAAAACGCAGTCGAAACCTAGAGACTGTTAGACAAGTGTTAGTGACACTAATTTCATTAGAAAATGAAGAAGAATACAAACAAAACAACAAGCTTTCATTTTCACACAGCCACGCAGATTCTTCTTTTTAAGCATCAAAAACAAAAATGGTTCACTGATTGCAAAGACTTATAGATATTATTCTTTTCTTCTGTTTACTTCTTCGATTGGAGAAGAGAAACCAATACCTGGATATGTCGATCGCCGGTGCTGCTGCTGATGAAGCCGGAACTCCGCTTCTCGCTAAAACCGTAGACGGATCCGTCGACTACAAAAGCAAACCCGCCGTCAGATCTTCCTCCGGTGGCTGGAGATCCGCCGGATTCATCATCGGTATTCCTCGAGCTGTTTCCTTCACTACCGCCAATTTAATTTCCCGCCCAATTTAATCAATTTTGACTTCGCCGGCTTTGAATTGACTGATATGGCAGGTGTGGAGGTGGCCGAGCGGTTCGCTTACTACGGAATTTCGTCGAATCTGATAACGTATTTGACGGGGCCGTTGGGTCAGTCGACGGCGGCTGCTGCGGCTAACGTCAATGCCTGGTCTGGAGCGGCGTCGTTGCTTCCGCTCCTTGGCGCTTTCGTCGCCGACTCCTTTCTAGGTCGTTTCCGAACAATCCTCGCCGCCTCCGCTCTCTATATATTGGTACGAAGCTCACTCTAACTCTTCTTCTGGTCAATTCTCGTCAATAGGAAGTTTCTCTTCTCTGTACAGTAACTTAATTGGTCACAATCAGAAATCAGTTGCTTTTGATGATTCATGCTTCAATATAGGTTTTTGATCCTGATTCTCAAAGAAATGATTCAGAAATGGTGTTCTTCACAAAAGAGATGAATCTGAAATTGTAGTGATTTGATGGAACAACAGGGGCTTGGTTTATTGACTTTATCTGCAATGATTCCTTCAGACTGCAAAGTTTCCAAACTATACTCGTCATGCTCTCCTCAATTCCAAATAGTTACATTCTTCGGTGCCCTGTATCTAGTGGCGCTAGCGCAAGGAGGGCACAAGCCGTGTGTTCAGGCTTTTGGAGCGGATCAGTTTGATGAAAAGCACCCTGAGGAGTGCAAAGCAAAGAGCTCCTTCTTTAATCTGTGGTATTTCGCCATGTGCTCTGGAACTTTTCTCACCTTATGGGTCTTGAATTACATCCAAGATAATCTCAGCTGGGCTCTAGGCTTTGGTATTCCCTGCATTGCTATGGTGGTTGCTTTGGTTGTTTTCTTGCTCGGAACCAGGACTTACCGCTTCAGCGTTCGTAGAGAAGAAGATCGTAGCCCTTTTGTGAGGATCGGAAATGTTTATGTCGCCGCTGCAAAGAACTGGAGTGTATCAGCTTCTTCTGTACCGGATGCAGAAGAGATCTCACATCAATATAGGTAAGAGTAAGACAGCATAATCGTTTACAAAAGAAAAGGCTTTATCTTTGACATTGTGGTTCTTGTTGCAAATGCAGTTTTCTTAACAAAGCTCTGGTGGCAAAGAATGGTTCTTGCAGTGTTGATGATCTCGAAGAAGCAAAGGCAGTGCTTAGGTTAGCTCCGATATGGTTAACTTGCTTGGTTTACGCGGTTGTCTTTGCGCAGCCTATAACTTTCTTCACAAAACAAGGAGCTACAATGGAGAGATCAATCACGCCAAGCTACAAGATCTCTCCGGCTACACTCCAGTCTTTCGAAAGCCTCTCTATAGTGATCTTCATCACATTGTACGACCGCGTACTCATCCCGATCGCAAGATCATTCACAGGTAAACCAGGCGGAATCACAATGCTTCAGAGAATCGGCACAGGGATATTCATCTCGTTCCTCTCTATGGTAATAGCCGCTCTAGTGGAGATGAAACGGCTCAAAACCGCTGCGGATTACGGTCTGATCGATTCTCCAGACGCTACGGTTCCAATGAGTGTGTGGTGGTTGGTTCCACAGTACGTGCTCATTGGTGTCTCAAACGTTTTTACAATGGTGGGTCTTCAAGAGTTCTTCTACGACCAAGTCCCTAGCGATCTGAGGAGCGTGGGGTTGTCTCTGTACTTGAGCATATTCGGTATTGGTAGCTTCATCAGCAGTTTCATGGTATCAGTCATTGAGAAACTGACGAGCCGGTCCGGTCAAGCGAGCTGGTTCGCAAACAACCTGAACCAAGCTCATCTTGACTATTTCTACTGGCTGCTCGCTTGTCTCAGCTTCATTGGCTTAGCCTCCTACTTGTATTTTGCAAAATCCTACGTCTCTAAGAGGCTCAACACTCTTTAAACCCTGTAAATGTTGGCAGGTACTCTCTTTCTCTCTCTCTGTAATTTTCGTGTACACTATCATTATCATCATACCAATAAATACTATCACATGTTCACTGATGATAGATATTCATTTTACTCATATAGGATAAAAAAATTATTGGAATTCTGAACAAATAATAATGATATGATGGTCGTCAATACATCTTCACGTTTTGTCTATTCTTAGACTTGATCTACACGGCGATACACATACCGCCTGGAGAAGAACAAAAACGCAAAGAATCCAACGGCGGTGAAAGCGGCGAGCAACCAGTAAAAGTAATCAACATGAGCTCGGTTCAGGTTAGTGTTGAACCAGCTATCGCCGCCGTCTTTTCCGGTGAGCCAGTTAATCAGAGTGATGAGAAAACCGCTCAAGAAGCTCGCAAGACCCATGGCACTCAAAGAGAGCGCGAGACCGATACTCCTAAGCTCGGTTGGGACTTGGTCGTAGAAGAATTCTTGTGTTCCAACGAGCGAGAACACATCTATCATCCCTAGTAGCAAATACTGAGGAACGAACCACCATATCGACATTGGCACGGTTGCGTCCGGTCTATCCACAAGCCCGTATTCTTTAGCCGTCTGGAGCCGTTTCGTTTCCACCAACGCTGCAACCACCATATTGAAGCTGGAGAGGACCATTCCGGTTCCTATTCTCTGAAGCATCGTGATCCCGGACGGCTTTTTGGTGATCCGTCTAGCTAACGGAAGGAAGACGTGTTCGTAACCCGGAACTGAGATGAAAATCGCTATCCCGATAAGTGCTTGGAAAGAAGCCGGAGGGATTTCTAGACCGGGCAAGAACTTTCTGTCCACCGTAACGCCTTGCTTTGTGAAGAACGTTGCGTACTGAGCGTACGGAATCGTGCACACAACCGATGTGATCCATATCGGAATTAGCCTTACCAAAGCCATTGCGTCTTCCACGTCCCTCCTGTTACATCGCTCTTCACCTCCTTCTCCTGATAGCAACGCATTTGCTAGGAACCTTTAGGAAACAAAAAAAGTCAAAACACTAAACCAAAAACAAATCAAATGAGACAGAATTTGGGAGTTTTGGAAACTTACGAGAACCGTTTTTTAAATCTCTCGGACGAACCATCTTCCAACATACCTTGGCTCAAACTTGAATGTTCATAATTCATATTCCGATTCTTGAAAGCCGCGACAAAAACCCTACCGATTCTTGCAAAAGCATTCTTCTCTCTGCTATCTCCACCTTTTGGGTATCGGTAAGTTTTTCTACCGAGCAAGAAGAGAGCAAGAGCCAAAACCATGAACAAACAAGGGATCCCAAACCCAAGCGCCCAATTAACATTGTCTTGCACGTAGACCACCACAACAATGGATAAAGTTATTCCGGCAGATAAACTCAAGAACCACCAGTTGAAAAACGATCCTCTCGATATTCTCTCTTTGGAATCTGCCGCATCGAACTGGTCGGCACCAAACGCTTGAACACAAGGCTTGTGTCCACCTTGTCCGATGGCGACCAGATAGAGTGAACAGAAGAATAATATGTTCACCCAATAAGACGGTTTAGCGGAAGCGTCGTTACGTTGCTCAGATAATCCCACTAGGATTAAGAACGCAGATAAGGTCAATAGTCCTAGTCCCTGTAATAATAATAATCCTCCAAATTTTCATGGATCATTGCTTTTAAAAAAACTTTTTTTAAAGAAATTATGAAATAAGAAATTTAAACTGGAGAGAGAACGTACGAGTATGTAGATGAGGGAAGCGATAACGATGGTGAGGTAACGACCGAGATAAGCGTCGGCGATGAAAGCTCCTAGAACAGGAAGCATTGAGGCGGTTCCGGACCAAGTGTTCACGTTTACGGCGGCGGTCGCCGTCGATTGTCCGAGAGGTCCGGTGAGGTAAGTGATTAAGTTTGAGCCAATCCCAAAGTAAGCGAATCTCTCTCCTACCTCCACGCCTGAAAGATTTTTCAAGAAAAATAAAAGAAACTCGTAAAATTAAGATTTAAAAAGCTGATTATGTATGATGGTTTTTTTGTTTTTTGTAATGACTTCTTCACCTATGATGTACCAGGCGGATCTCCATCCGCCGGTGGAAGATTTCCCGGCGGGAAGTCCAGTGTGGTCGACGGAGTCGCTAACGGAATCTTCTAGAAGTTTAACTTCTTCCTCGGTTACCGCCATTTTTCGTTGCGACTGACGTCGTTAGGAATCTCTTTGAGGATGATGAGGAAACACGTCGACTTATGAATGTAGAAGACTTTATCTTTCCCTCCTGAACAACTAATGACAACGACTTAATCAAATATATGATATATTTTGTGTATTTATAAAAACAATTTTGGGATTTTCGAATCAGATGAGAACGTGATGCTATTGCCTCAATGTCAAAGACCTACTTTAATACCTTACGTTTTTAACATTAAGTAATATCTACAATTATTGTATGAATAATCATAACTTTATGATTAAGCATAAGTGCATTACTTTTTATGGAAGCGTTTCTCGCAATGTTATATATTAATCCTCTGTAAATTTTGAATTTGATTAACTAATCTAAACCAAGTAACATGCCGTTTTATGGTGTGTATATATATATCAGTCATTTATTTCAGTCAGAACTCAACTATTATTATTAGTCGGTCACTACTGGATCATGACTTCTGAGATTTTAACTAACATCCAGATCGATGCACAATCTGATTTTTATTTTATAATAAGTGAAGGTATTTACAATTGTAGAGTCGAGGGAGGGAGTAAATAGTTGAAATTTACAACTGTTTCTAATTTATAATTTCAATAAAATGCGTATAAGTTGAACAACTAAATTTGTAAGCAAGCTACTAAAACCAAAAACAAACTTTGCAAGCTATATTTTGTGATTGTGCCTAATTTTTTATGCACAAGTGTCTCGCAAAGCTATGTTTTAGTCACATACATTTTTTTAATTCGATTGATTAATCTAAACCGAGTAACATGCGGTTTTTATTGTATTGATTCGTTTCCTCAAAAGTCAACTATTACCGGTCACTGACTGGATCATGAAGACATTAAGCTATTAATTTCAGGACCAAACACAATCTACTTTTATTTAGTTTACAATTGTTTTACTATTTTAAGCAAATGCACAATGCAGTACTACTTGAACTACTTTGGAAGCTGTTGAAAAAAAAAATTGAATGCCCAGTCAGCTAAATTTTTACGTCGTATTGCATGTGACATCATGTATAAAGATCTGTATATTAGAAACTAAATAAAAGTTTAAAGTTTTCTTTTAAAGTTTGTGAATAAACCATTTGGCATTTGCTTCTTCTTTTTTTCATTGTGAAATTCGTAATCGCTGTCTCTTAGAAAATCTTGTACTGTATTGCGTTCGGTGTAATGTATCCAAGATTCAATTATTAATTTGTTGTCCTTGATAACTGTTTAGCTGTCACGTCCTTTCTACTTTAGGGTAAAGTATTTTGACGTGCATAACAATTATTTTACAGTCCATCAATGTGATAATGGAAGGGACCTGAATGGGCGCGTAATTTATTTGCTCTATAAATTATCTGGCCCTTTCCTTTTAATAGTGTATGGTGGATCAGTGATTCAGTGATAAAGACAAGACAACTAAAGTTGGTCCATTTGCAGAATTAATCCATGCTGCTTTTCTTTATTTTTGAAACGTTTTTAACTTTATTAGCTGTGTCATTGCTCGATTTGTTCCCAATGCTCAGACAGACTATGCAAAATAACGTGGTGTCATGATTTTGAATGTACAAACGCTTGCATTCGTACATTAGGATGGCATTCCAATTCTGGATACCGCTGATTGATTCGTATGTTGTGGTCCTTTTGCTGTGGACTATATTTTTCTATATATAGATAGTTTTATGTAGTTGATGAAGGTAAAAATGAAGTCATTATCGTTCTTATAATATATGTAGTACCTGAACATGTAAACTGTAACGTGTACAACTCGCGAGTTCATGCTGACGCCAATGGCAAAGGGATCCACGCGCAGTTTTAGGTGTTCGCAAGAAATATTTGAGCCTTGACCACTTTTACGCCCTGAGATACATAGCTATGACTCATGCACCACCACATGCGGGTTTGGCATATACATGTTGCTTAAGATATCTAAAGTTGGGCCAAGATTTTCTCCGAAGTGGTGGAGTAATGATTGAGTTTAAATTTATCCACATTCAGTTTATCGTCAATATGTTGGTCCCCCAATCTCAAAATGCCCAATTTCTTTCGTCTTATTCGGCAGATCTTTCAAGGAGGATAAGATTTGTAAGTAACAGGAATCGGACAAACACACACTTAAAAGATGGTTTATTGGATAATTCGAACCATCCAATGGACCCCTTTAAAGTTGTGTAACCAAGAAAAAACGCTATCCAGCCCAACTATATATATATATATATATATATATCTATTGGGATGTCAATCATAGTCCCAAGGAAGTTAGAGAATTAGTGTATAACAGTATAAGATATAAGTAATGTACAACTCCTATACGATCTTTTGGGAAAAAAATCCAAAGACAAATTCATGCCACATTTGTCACATGATCTCAAAGTGGACAATATCATACTAATGGATAGTTGGACATGGATTTGAAAAAACATATATATGAAATGAAAAATCAACAAAACTTTTGTCTTTCGAATTCTTAGACTTGGTCTACCCGACGATACACATACATTTTGGAGATGAAAACGAACGCAAAGAAAGCAAAAGCGGTGAAAGCAGCGAGCAACCAGTAAAAGTAATCAAGATGAGCTCGGTTCAGGTTAGTGTTGAACCAGCTATCGCCTCCATCTTTTCCGGTAACCCAATCAATCATAGTGATGAGAAAACCGCTCAAGAAGCTCGCAAGGCCCATGGCACTCAAAGAAAGCGCGAGACCGATACTTCTCAGCTCCGTTGGGACTTGGTCGTAGAAGAATTCTTGTGTTCCCACCTGAGAAAAAACATTGATCATCCCTAGAAGCAAATACTGAGGAACAAACCACCATATCGACATTGGCACCGTCACGTCCGGCTTGTCCAAGAGCCCTTGTTCCTTAGCGATCTCCAACCGTTTGTCTTCTACCAATGCTGCGAGCACCATATTGAAGCTTAAAAGCACCATTCCGACACCTATCCTTTGGAGCATTGTGATCCCAAAAGGCTTTTTGGTGATCATCCTGGCTAACGGGAGGAAAACATGCTCATAGATCGGGACCGAGACAAGAATGGATACACCGATGAATGACAATTAAGAAGCCGGAGGGATTTCCAAGCCCGGTAAGATTTGTCTGTCCACCGTAACGCCTTGTTTAGTGCAGAGAGTCAAGAATTGTGCATTTGATATTGAACTCACCACCGAGGTGATCCAAATGGGAATAAGTCTTAACAAAGCCTTTGCGTCTTCCACATCCCTACCACTACATAGCTCTCTACCTTCTTCTTCTTATTCTTCTTCTTGTTCTCTTGAGATCATAGCTTTTGCTAGGAAACTTGTCACGCAAGACAAAAAAAATTAAAACTCAAATAACTCAAACTTCTAAACCAAAACTCAAAATGATTACAAATCTTGGGATTGATGCAACTTACTCGAGCCGGCCGGCCGGACCATCTTCCAACAGACCTTGATCCAAACCGGAAAGTTCTAAACTCAGTTTCCGATTCTTAAACGCTCCGACGAAAACCCTACCAATTCTTGCAAAAGCATAACTGTTTTCCTCTCGGTTTCCTCTAGGGTATCTATAACTTTTTTCTTCCGAGCAAGAAGATAACAAGAGCCGTAACCATGAACAAGCAAGGGATTCCAAACCCAAACGCCCAATTAACAATATCTTGCACATACGCAACCACTATAATCGATAAACTTATTCCAGCGGATAAACTCAAGAACCACCAGTTGAAAAACGATCCTCTTGATATTACCTCCTTTGGATCTTCCGAGTCAAACTGGTCCGCACCGAACGCTTGAACACACGGCGTGTGTCCACCTTGTCCGATCGCCACCAAATACAAAGAACAGAAGAATAATATATTCACCCAAAAAGACGGTTTAGCAGAAGCGTCGTTACTTTGCTCAGATGATCCCATTATGATCAAGGACGCTGATAGGGTTAATAGTGCTAGTCCCTGTTATAACAATAATCCCGGTTATAAATCGTAGCAAAATCAAGCCGGTTTACTAAGAAAATGTTATTTTGACGTTTGAGAAAGAAGAATAAGGTTCCAAACCAGTATGTAGATGAGAGATGCTACAAGAATTGTCCGGTAACGACCAAGATAAGCGTCTGCTACGAAAGCTCCTAAAATAGGAAGCATCAAGGCGGTTCCTAACCATGTGTTTACGTTCACGGCGGCGGTCGCCATCGATTGTCCAAGGGGTCCGGTGAGGTAAGTAATCAAATTGCATGCAATCCCAAAGTAAGCGAATTTCTCTGCAACTTCCACACCTGAAAATTTGAAGAAAAGAAAAGCAATATCAAGATTAGCTCAATTATGAAAAAAAAAAAATATATATATATATACAAATCGAGCCTTCACCTATAATGTACCAGGCCGATCTCCATCCTCCGGTGGAATATTTTCCGGCGGGAAGTCCACGGTGGTCGATGGACCCGTTAACGGAATAGTCTAGAAGTGTAACTTCTTCCTCGGGTATCGCCATTTCTCGTTGCGGCTGAGGTTAGGAATATCTTGGAAGATGATGAGGAAACACGTCGAGTACTAATGAACACGACTTAACATTTTCCTCCTGCACAACTAATGAACACGACTTAATCAACTTTATGATATTTTTCGTTTGTTTATAATTTTTTGTTGGGATATTCAGATCAGTTGAGAACATGATGCTACCTCAATGTCAAAGAGCTACTACATTATACGTAGCAATCTACCATTCTTGTATATCACTATGCATAGATGTTATTTTTATGGAATAATCAATTTGCATTTTTTTTGATCTTTTATGAAATTCCTAATATTGCTGTCTCTTAGAAATGCTTGTACATTGCGTTCGGGTAATGTATGCAAGATTCCATTATTTGTTGTCCTTGTTTACTAGCTGTTTAGCTGTTACGTCCTTTATACTTTAAAGGTAATATATTTTCCACATACATAACAATTATTGTAAAGTTTACATTTTCAGACCAAAAATCAATATGGTAACTTTATTTTGCTTTATATATTAGATATCTGGTCCTACGTTTACAAAGTTATCACAAACTTTGTCTTTTGAATTCTTAGACTTGGTCTACCCGACGATACACATACAACTTGGAGATGAACAAGAACGCAAAGAAAGCAAAAGCCGTGAAAGCAGCGAGCATACAGTAAAAGTAATCGACATGGGCTCGGTTTAGGTTAGTGTTGAACCAGCTTTCCCCACCATCTCTTCCTGTGGCCCATTCAATCACAGTGATGAGCAAACCGCTCAAGAAGCTCGAAAGACCCATCGCACTCAACGAAAGCGCAAGACCGATACTCCTCAGCTCTGTTGGGACTTGGTCGTAGAAGAATTCTTGTGTTCCCACAAGTGAGAACACATCAATCATCCCTAGAAGCAAATACTGAGGAACAAACCACCATATAGACATTGGCACGGTCACGTCCGGCTTGTCCAAGAGTCCGTGTTCCTTAGCGATCTCCAACCGTTTGGCTTCCACCAATGCCGCGAGCACCATATTGAAGCTTGAAAGCACCATTCCGACACCTATCCTCTGGAGCATTGTGATCCCGAAAGGCTTCTTGGTGATCATCCTGGCTAACGGGAGGAAAACATGCTCATAGATCGGGACCGAGACAAGAATCGATACACCGATGAATGACAATAAAGAAGCCGGAGGGATTTCCAAGCCCGGCAAGATTTGCCTATCCACCGTAACGCCTTGCTTAGTGAAGAAAGTCATGAATTGTGCATAAGGAATCGTACTCACCACCGTCGTGATCCATATCGGAATAAGCCTTACCAAAGCCTTGGCGTCTTCCACATCCCTACCACTACATGGCTCTCTATCTTCTTCTCCTGAGATCATCGCTTTAGCGAGGAAACTTGTCACACAAGAAATAGAAATTTACACTTCCAAAACACTAAACCAAATCTCAAAATGACTACAAAATCTTGGGATTTAAGAAACTTACTCTAGCCGGCCATTACGTGTCTCGGACGGACCATCTTCCAACAGACCTTGACCCAAACCCGAATGCTCTAAACTCAGTTTCCGGTTCTTAAAAGCCGTGACGAAAACCCTACCGATTCTAGCAAAAGCGTTACTACTATTCTCCTCTCGGTTTCCTTTAGGGTATCGATAACTTTTTCTTCCGAGCAAGAAGATAACAAGAGCCATAACCATGAACAAGCAAGGGATTCCAAACCCAAACGCCCAATTAACACTATCTTGCACATACGCAACCACTATGATCGATAAACTGATTCCAGCAGATAAACTCAAGAACCACCAATTGAAAAACGATCCTCTTGATATTACTTCCTTTGGATCTTCTGAATCGAATTGGTCCGCACCAAACGCTTGAACACATGGCTTGTGTCCTCCTTGTCCGATCGCCACCAAATACAGAGAACAGAAGAAAAGTATATTCACCCAATAAGACGGTTTAGCAGAAACGTCGTTACTTTGCTCAGCTAATCCAATTATGATAAAGGAAGCTGATAACGTTAATAGTCCAAGACCCTGTCATTTACAATAATCAATCCTCCCAAATTTAGCTATATACCGGTTTAAATCGTAGCAAAATCAAGCCGGTTTACTAAATTTTCTTAATTTTTTATTTTTCTTGATTTTGAAGAAGGTACTAAGTACTAACCAGTATGTAGATGAGAGAAGCTACAAGAATTGTCCGGTAACGACCGAGATAAGCGTCTGCTACGGAAGCTCCTAAAATAGGAAGTATGGAGGCGGTTCCCGACCATGTGTTAACATTCACGGCGGCGGTCGCCGTGGATTGTCCGAGAGGTCCGGTGAGGTAAGTAATCAAGTTGCATGCAATCCCAAAGTAAGCGAATCTCTCTCCAACTTCCACACCTGAGAAGAAAAAAAAAGCTCGCAAAATCAAGATTTGGGAGGTCAATTAATTATGAAGAAAACATATACAAATCGAGTTGGATTCTTCACCTATAATGAACCAGGCGGATCTCCATCCGCCGGTGGAAGATTTTCTGGCGGGAAGTCCACGGTGATCCACGGAATCGCTAACGTGATCCTCTAGAAGTGTAAATTCTTCTTCGGATTTCTTCATTTCTTGAGAATTTGAGATTATAGCTCTTTGAGAACTTGGAGGGTAAGTTGATTTTTAAGCTAAAAGTCTATTCGTGTTGCATGCTCAGACTCAGAACTCAAAAAAGGATATGACACGAATTCGTTAAGTTTTCTGCTTTTGTCTGTGGTCCTACTATTTTCTGTAGATATGTTGTCTTTTAGTAGGGTGTTGACTAATATTAATAGCACAAACACTCGAGATAATATTTTCTCATGAAAAAATGAACCTTTTATATTTCGGTTTTTGAAATAGTCAAATATATTGATTGATTGTTATTCTGTTTTCAAGTTAGAACCTTATCAACTGTTTCATTGCACAAAGTGCAAAGATAAAATTTGACTGTTACTTTGTCTATTGTGACAAACTGACGACAAACAAATGGTGATCGCTTTTTTTTTTTTTTTTTTTTGTCAAAGGAGTCGATAAAATGGTGATGCGCTGTTGAAACAAAAAACTTCTATTTCTGTCTTGTGAGATCCGATTCTATTAATGGACAAGTGGGTTTCTGATTTTTTATGGGCCTAAGTGGTGAAGCTGTGGCCCATGTTGAAGACAAATTCAAGAAGAAGCCCAAGAGTGATGAGCACGGCATTATCGTGTCTTCGCTATGGTGTGATGTTCATGAGCTGTCACCTAATAGAGACAAAAGAGGGAAATGCAGAGTGTAGAAGTAAAAGTAGAGTATAGGAGCAGAGGGTGCGAGTGAGAGAGCAAAAGGTATTAGCAAACAAATAGAGACAGAAAATAGACAGAAAGTGAGAGAAAAATAACTTGTGACTGTGACCTGCGCTGATACAACTTTAGCCAAGTCATCGACGAGTCAAAATTTAAAAATCGATAAAAGACAAAAACCTGGTTAACAAAAAAGATAAAAAGATAATAATCACAAACTCTTGATTTATATGAGCTAAAGATAAGTACAAAAATTGTAACGGATGAGACTCTTATGAACAAAATGTACAAAAATGTATTTTGCATATTGTGTTATTTGGCTTTTGTAATTACCAGTTTTAATTTCGTGTGACAGACGCATGTAAAACATTTATGGGGAACAAACTGGCAAATATTACCTTCCTATATTGCATGTTCACTAACCCAACCAACACAAGACACCTAACAAAATGACAAAAAATCTTCACATAGAAATCTTCTTATTAAGAAACTTTTTATATCTATTTTTTCCTTAAAACCTTAATATGTACATTTTCTTTTAAAACATTTCTATAATATATTAAAACCGGACCGAGCCAAGAAAAACCAAAGTTAGAAACTTAGCTCTATATAACATTTCCACCCATTGGTCTCAGAAACCACACAAACCATTTCCTCTTTATTCTTTTTGTCTTTTTCCACCATGGGGAGAAGAAAAGTGACACACCAATTGATTTCCGATGCCGCGACTCGCCGAGTCACGTTCCGGAAACGCAAAGAAGGTTTACTGAAGAAGCTCAAGGAACTGACCATCCTCTGCGGTCTACGCGCCTGCGCCATCATCTACAGCGACTACAAGGAGGGTCCCGAGGTCTGGCCAAACCGTAACGAGGTACGTGTGCTTCTAAACCGGTTAAGTGAACTCCCGGTTGAGAAACAGACCAAATACATGATGGACCAGAAGGATCTCATGACGAGGATGATCCAAGACGCTGAGAAGAAGCTCGAGAAGGAGCAGATGTTTGGGCGTTCGATGGAGCTTGGGATGGCTGCTGCGTTCCGAGATCTAGACGACGCTGATTATTCAGAGGAGCTGGTTAAGGCGGCTGATGTGGTTGCGAAGAGGATCAATGTCATCAGAGAGAGAATCGAGGCTTTGGAATCTGGAGAAGCCTTCGTCAAGGAAGAAGAAGACGAAGAATAGGCCTTTCAAAACAATTTGTTTTTTTTTTTTTTTTTTCTACATGGATTTTTAATCGTTTACAATATGGTTAAGAATTCTGTTTTTTGTTTTTTTTTTAATGTTTGTTTTAGAAAGACTATGAGGAAATGATATGAATCTCTTTGACCTTGTTGGTGTTTCAATCATTGAATTGTGGACTTGATGTATTTCGGGTTTATGACCATATTTGGTTTATATTTAGGAAGATTTTCTTCCTTTTTTTTGCTATTTCTATTTTTATTTCTATTTTTTTTCAGGCAATCGAATCTTATTATACTAAATTGGATGCGAATGAAGAATGTTTCGTAAATATTTTTTTGCTATTTTTATTTCTATCTTTTTACGTAATCGAATCTTATTATAATCAATTGGATGTGTATGAAAAATGTTTAGTATCTGTTTTTTGCTATTTTTATTTTTATTTCTATTTTTTCACGTAATCGAATCTTATTATATTAAATTGGATGTGTATGAAAAATGTTTAGTATATAGAATTTTTATTATAACATATTTGATCGTGGAACGTGTCTAATATTGACGAGATGATGACATCATGTGTTAACTCAAATTTGTTTCAAAAAAGTAATAACAGAAATAGAAAACTAATAAAACAATTATTGATAAAATACTTAATATTAAGAAAAGAAAATTTTATAATGGTTGATATTTTAAAATTCATTTTCATATCATGAATTAACATAAGATATTAGTTATGACTAAAAGATAAATTGCTTATCAATCTTATTCAACATTCAAAAAATTGCTAGGCATTAGTCAGACGGTGAATCTTACAATTTTTCGATTTTTCAAAAATCAAAAATTAGACGAAGATTAGTGAGAGAGGAATTTTATCACATTTGTATAGTTTATTAAACATTCTTATATTAAAGATAATACATAAATATGAAAATCATATATTTCAAGGTTAGTTAAACATTTTTTTATGTTCAGAGAACTCAAACTATTACTGACAAAATAGTTTACAGAACAAAGACATTACATATAAATCTTCCAAGCATAACAAAAGAATTTTCAAGTGAATCTCCAAATGTAACTATGTAAGTTCTAACAATTGTAGTCTTTGTTATAAGCAAAAACAAAACTAGTCAGAATGGGCCTTTTATAGTTGGCCATAATTTTCAAAATAATTTATAATTGGACCAAAGAGAATTCATAAACCACACATTTAGCCCATTAGATTTTAATTTTTTTAAGGGATTTCTCTTATTATTCAGGCTCCTTAGTTAAACTAAGTTTGACTCAACAATGACAAAGACTTTCTAAAATCACCATATTCTCACCCCGAATCCGATTTTTTGGGCAATTAGTCTAAGAAGTCGCCATATCTTATTATGCTTTTAAGTTTTAACAATGGATTAGTATTCTGTTACAATGCTACATCGATAATTCTAAAATGGATAATTCAATCGTATTCTTCTTAAGTTCCACAAGTGACAGTTCCAGCAACCTGAAAATCTTCTGTAAATTCCTACATGCACACTCTCTTGTCAATTTCCCAAGGGATATATAATACATATATCACTGAGTGAAGAGCTTCTCATTAAGCGTGAACTAAGCATCGAAATACAATTATTCACAATCACACAAAAGATATATGTAACACAACATAAAACCAATCAAACACAAAAACAACTAATGTAGCTCGATCCCTCAATAAATGAGGCTGAGTCGATGGCCGAGATACACAAAGTGCCAAGTGAGAGACATAAGAGTCAGTAAATTTAGTCGCATGGAGTACGCATTTAACCTACTCAGCCTCTCGTTCAGCTTCGTCAGTTTACAATTCACTGCACCCTCACCCGTCTTCTGTCTAACCTTCTTACCACTGGTTCGAACCGCTGCTTCACTGGCCTGTGACTCTGACGTGTCAAGTCCTCTTCCTTCTTCCTTTTCCACTTTTATCCGCTCAAACATTGCCTGTTGAGCACAACACAAATATAAATATTTCAACACTGTATAAACTTAAAATTTCATTTACATTTTATTATAATAAAAACGGAACTTTGTCAAAATATGATCGTTTTTAAAGCAAACCATCAGCTAAATAAGATTTTCCTCTTGTTTCAAACAAATTTATGCGAAGAAAGAACGATATTTACACACAAAACAAAAGCAAAGAAAGAATAGCACACTTTTAATATAATTTTCAAAAATGTTCAAACACAATTTAAAAGCCATAATTTATACGCATACTCCAAAAAAAATAAAAATAATAATACTTAATTGAGTGTAGTTTTAAACCAAACCTTGATGGCTCGTGGCTCAACAAATGACGCATTAGCTTCAACCATCAGGATCGAACACAAGAGGTTCACGGCCTGCCACATCTCCACCGCGACGGTAAAAACCTTCCGGCGTCGGCTGATGACGTGTCCTAGCAACCCAACAAGAATCCCTACAGAGATCGCCTTGAAGTAAACCGGATACACCTTGCTCTGCACCACACCACATTGCTGCCTCCCAAGCACAGAAGTCAACACGTACCTCGATATGATCGTCACCCACACGCACATCCCGTACGCCGCCGCGATCCCTATCAGACTCACCACGCTCCCAACCTTCGTCAGCTTCAGCGCCTCGGCAACAGCCGTCCCTATCCGCCTCACCGTGATCTTCGACTTTCCCCAAACGTTTTGGGCCTTTTGGGCCTTCTTTGTCACCCTTTCATTAGCTTCTTGGGCTCTTCCTGCGACCTTCTCTTTGGTACGTTGAGCCTCATGAGCCACAGTTTCCTCTACGTCACGTGCCGCACGTGCGACAGTCTCTCTGGGAGTTTCAGAAACATCATCGTTGTTGACTCTCCCCAACACACTCGCCATCTTGTGCTTACACTTGCCGATCGCGTCGCATATGAGCTCTCCTGGCGACGCGTGGTGTTCACGCTCCTCCTCTACTTGGGCCATAACTGGAAGAGACGACGCCGTTTCCATCACTTTCTTTTTCACATCTCTAAACACTTCTCTTTCGTCATTTCTCTTCTCTTCTACTCCTTCCCCTCCTTTTCCCGGCGGTGAAATTAAGACTCTAGTGCTGGTTTTGCCGTCTCCGTCATACTCCACCACAACAACACGGTGTCCGTCTTTCACGATGACGTCACCTTCCGACTCCGAGCAGTGGCTCACGCTCAGTAACGCACACAAGACAAGAAACAAGGCCACTAGTTTCTTCATTTTTGCTACCTTCTTCGTGTCACTGACTCGTTTGATACTTGCTTCTTGGTCTTGTTACTATCCTATAGGCTATAACGGAGACGAATCTTTAACATATTCTCAGTTTGTTTACCTTGCTGAGTAACACGTGTCTCCACGTGGATATATACGTGTCGTCTTCGTAAACTCTTCCAACATCAGCACTAGTTTCCTTAGACACTACGAAATGGTGCTGGGCCTAGTTTTGCACATGTAGGCCCAACAAATATGGAATGATGCATAAATTATGCGAATCATGGAATAATATTCTTGAAAGAAATAAAGAAAAGCCAGAAAATAGAAAGATTTCGAGGTTAAACAGCAAGACTGTAGAAAGATGAGTGTAATGGATTTTGGATAGAATCTGAGAGGCTTACAGAAGAGTTAGATGTAGAAATAGGAATATTCGTCGAGTGGCCGGCAAAAGTTGGCACAGAAAGGGAAAGAAATTGCATGCAAGATTGCTTCAACTCTCCTTTCTAAAAGAGAATATAAATCACCAAATTGGCAAATATTACTTTTTTCCGATTAATGTTTTCGTATACAGTACGTTACTTAATTTAAAGTTTAAACCAAATACCACTTTTGCCTAGTAATATTTTTGTATGAGATTATTATGGATTACTATCAGATGATTATTAATTTATTATGGATTAGGATCAGTTGATTCACACTAAACAAAAGTAATTGTATTCAGAAAAGAAAAGGTGTAGGACTAGGACGGCATGTGAGATTACATGTGGCTTTGAGGCACTTCGACAAGAAAACAAAAGCAGCCACCTTGTATCTTCCTTTGCAGATTCCCCCACAACAACACTCATGTATATACATACATTACACACTAACACTACATAACACACACACAGACATCTCTTTTAGTATATTCACCTGTCGATCAGAGATACGTTAATTTTGTTTTCCTAACGACAAATGTTTATTTTAATATGAACATCTTGGTTGCTCTTCAACCTTAGTAGTGGCATTAATGTACAATTATTATAGATTAACATCATTGGGGGATTATTGAGAACTGACCAGTGCCCACACCAGTCACATTATAGATCCCAACATATATTATTTTGTCTGATAACTTTATATTTCGTAATAATGCAATTTTAACATGAACAGTTTGGATGAAGACATTGTGTCTTGATTATTTTATACAACAAATTTGAAAATTTAGAAAAATTACGAAATGTACCTTACAATTATGATTATCGGAGTATAGACGGGGTGCTAAAATGTTAGGCATAAGCTCTATAAAAGAGTCTGTATTCAAAAATTAACGAGCCATGTTTTCTCTTATTTTTTTTATGAAAGCGAAAGGACGAGTAAAGGTACCAAAAAGAAGAAAAAGCAAGACGATCCAGACCCACGATCGTTTCTTTTAATTATTTAGTGAAACCCAAAAATAAACTAAGTAGTGTTTTTAAAAAACATGGAAAGGAGACGAGAACCATACAAATCCAAGGGAGGGAAATCGGAGGAGATTAGGCTACGAACAGCTAAAAATAAACTACTAGAACCCTACCGACTTGATACTTCTCCTTGGATCACGTTATATTTTTGTGAAATTATTCGAAACAGTTTGGTTCTAGTTTCTTCTTTTCTTTTGAGTTCTAAGTTTAGTTTGGTGATAGCTTTGTTTTCAAAAAAATGTCATATTTGTGTATCTAACTCTAATTTTGAAAAAGTATTTGTCGTTTTATGTTTAAAAGGAAAACAAATAAGTATTTCATCTGTTACGTTTTAGTTGTCGTTTTATGTTTAATTATTTTGTTTCGTCGTAGTTGACATTTCCATTTTTCAATGTAATTTGTAATATTAAATACATAATTTAACTTTGAATTTATTCAAAAAAAAAAAAGAAAGCCAGATTCGTTTTATAAGAGAAATTTAAAAATATTCTATTAATATGGGTTGACAAATATTTAATATAACAATTAGTAGAACAAAACATATTAGTAGTATCAAAAAGTATAAACTGTAAACTGAATTGAAATTCCTATGTAATTATTTTTGGTGTCGGATTGGTCATCCTCAAAACCAACTTATTCTGTTTAATTGAAAATATGGTGATGAAAATAAGAAAACGAAAATCCAACTTTGTTGATACCTTGACATGCGGGAGTGACCGAGTGAGTAAGGACGAAGGAGCTGGATTCGCAGTTACTAAAATCAGAAGTATTCAACAATATTCTTTGCTTTGTTTTTACATTTCTCGGATGTTACCCTATCTACTAACACTGTGAATTCAGACATCTCCGACCAAATTTTCTCCACCACGTGTTTGATTTCACGCCAGAACATGACATGACATTATTTTTCATTGAGTTTCTACCAAACTTTTGCTAACAAAATTTAATATCACCCACTCTCTACTCTTCTTCTTCTTTTCTTGTCAAGACTCGTATATTTATTATTACTTCGTTTCGTTATTTTTCTTTTGTATTCTCTTTCATAGGCCCATATATTAATCGAAGTTAGTGCCAACTGCCAAATCAATCGAGATGCAGTAGAGAGACCACTCTACTTATAAGCTATCGGCTTATTACTTCTTTTAGTTTAATTTCTAATCTTGTAGTATCATTTTTCAAAATAGCGCCAACATTGTCAAATATATATACTACTTGACCATCAACGTACGTAAAATCAATTTTGGAGAGAGAATTAGAGTATTAGACTATTAGTGAGCTGATAGAATATTGTATCAAATCATATCAGAAGTGTTCGGACACTCAAAATTATCTGAAGGATCAACGATCGATGTGTGTCACATATTACGTGGAAACGTCGTCTATCACGCGTTGATAAATACTCTTTAAAGATCCGATGGTTCTTAAAGAAATATACAGGAGAAGACTTTGGTTGGCAGAAAGGTCGTGCCCCTGATTAAAATATGTAAGTGAAACGGAAATATATATTTTTTAATAATAATTGAACCTTAGCTCCGAAGTTGAACATTATTGACTTTAAAAGCAAGACACCAAAGAAAAGAACAGTGGGTAGCAATCTTTTATTTATTTATTACCAAACAACTATCTTTGATGTTTTGTAATAATTTGTATTTAATGGCTATGTCTACTTCTAAAAGTTCGTTTTAAAATCAATATATATTTATATTTAACATTAAGAAGAAAATTTAACCATGTTGTATTTATAGGAACTAAACGGGTAGGAAAAGAGAGGTAATGAAATAACTAAACTGCCGACAGAACATGAGGAGATGGAGCAAGATTGCACTTAACTAAGAGTAACTCAAACTCCGATGTCTTTAAGATTTTATTAATTATTTTTTAAAGTCTCTAACAAACGATCAACGCTTGTCCGTAATCTCCACGGAACCCCCGCTTTAGTTAATGATATCAATTCAATACCATAAATTATATCCCCATTTTAACAGTAAATAGGAAACATCGCCAAACAAACATAAACTTTCAATTGTTTGAATCTCTTCAATATTATATTCACTCTACTTGTTAATACAGGAAACATACTATTTTTGTATAAAGTTTACTCCAATAAAGAATCTGTCTTTTTTTTTACTTATAATGTTAGTGTCAAATATAATCATATGATTTGGGATAAATATTTTAATTGTACTAGTTCATCCATTTAAGTAGAAATTTGAATACGATGTTATTTAGAAAGAAAGTAAATACGTATATCCAACATATGTATCAACCCAAAGGTATGAAGTTTTCTATCCACCCATCTAAAAGTTATGAGCAATTGGTGATGATACAAGAAAATAGGTTCACTTTTTAGGGCAAGGACATGACAAGATGTACTGTAGATTTCATGATGGGGTAACACCGATTTCCTTGAAAACGAGAGAGATCCAATGAATAAAAGTTAAGACTCTATCAAAGACGATCAAGTATAATAAAATTTCAACCTTTCATGATTTTCGTCTCAAAGCTGGCGTAACCCAGTATTAATGCTCTACGTAAAAGAATTTGGATATGAAATCAAACATTATATTCTTAGAGAGTGACTCATAATCTGGATATGTATGTTGTTAGTTAATGTACACACTTCAACTGAAAGAAGTAATAGTAACACTGATTTAAACAGTAGTTAAAACAATGCGATTTCTATCTTAGAAACAGAACAGTACCTACTTTTAAAATCAAATATCACTCAACTATACCATTAAATGTGTTTAACTAATTTGTTCTTAGTGACATACAGCCATGAAAAGCGTCTCAAAGTGTGTTTAGTCGACATGGTTTTAAGTTTGTAATTTTTATATTTGATAATGATTGCCTATATTAGGTCAAATGATGTTAACAATCGATTCACAAAGAGATAATATTTTTTGTAGTTGTCGTTGTTATGAAACGAAATTAGTCCACTTTCTAATTATCGTTAGCATTAGCAAACAAAGCACAAATGGCCACCACCACATTCGTCCTCATAGACAACGATGGTACGTCTTTCATGGCCCTACTCCTCTCTCACTCACCCAATTCTCTTTTTTTCTTTCTATTACACATTTTTCTTTAATATCTTCATAAGTAAAATCATCAAAAAGTTATTACATTTTCATCAACTACCATGTCGAATAAACTATGTCCCGCGAATACGTACGAATATTTGGTGAATCACCGACGAGGAACAAATATTCGAATGATATAAAACCAAATGATTCATATGTTGGAGTAGTAATCAAGAATATTCAACACAACACCCATAATTATTCAACTTGATAATATCAATTTGTCCATTTCTATCGTATATTTTAATAACAAAAAAAGGTAAATTTGGGAGAAATCGAAAAATTGACTCAAATGACGTCTTCCTCTTGACCTCTCTCTCTCTCTCTCTCTCTTCACCGAGTTTTGCTCCTCTCTTTAACACATCATCTGTTTTTGTTTTATGTCTTCACACTCCTCGAAACCAGAGAGATGATAATCTGTTTCTTCTTCCTTCTTCCTCTTCTTCTCTCTTCATAATTCTTCTTCTTTTTTAACTTCAAATCTCTTCTTTCGCCGGAAGTTTTTTCTCTCTCTCTTCACCGCTTTTAGAAAAGTTTCCAATTTTGTCCGATATGAGCAAACTAGTAGTTGAAATCGTGGACGCGAGCGATTTGATGCCCAAAGACGGGCAAGGCTCAGCGAGTCCGTTCGTGGAGGTTGAATTCGACCAGCAGCGGCAGAGAACGCAAACGCGGTTAAAAGATCTAAACCCTCAGTGGAACGAGAAGTTAGTTTTCAACGTCGGTGACTTCAGACGTTTGACTCACAAGACTATCGACGTCACCGTTTACGATGACCGCCGCGATAATCAGCCCGGGAAGTTCCTCGGCCGCGTCAAAATCGCCGGCGCCTCTGTTCCGTTGTCGGAATCCGAAGCCGGAGTCCAGAGATACCCGCTCGACAAGCGAGGTCTTTTCTCTCACATCAAAGGAGACATCGCTCTCAGAATCTACGCCGCTCCTATCGACGGCTCGGATTTCGCCTCTCCTCCGCCGGCGGATTTCGCAGAGAAGGAGCCGGCGGAGAAGGAGAAGAAATTCGAAACTCATGAATTTCAATTTCAAAATCAGAACCTAAACCCGTTCCAGCAATTCGACGAAGAGGTTTACATGGAGACGATGAAGCCGAAGAAGAAGGAGAAGGAATCGAAAACTTTCCACTCAATCGGTTCTCATCCTCTACCGCCTCAAGCGAAGCCCAATCATCTTCCTCCTAACCAACCGGAGTTTAGGTCAGATTTCATGAGAGCTCCGGGACCACCGCCTTCAGCGGTAATGCAGATGCAAGTGCCGAGACAGAATCCGGAGTTTCAGCTAATCGAAACCAGCCCTCCGTTAGCCGCTCGTCAGCGGCAATCGTACTACTACCGGAGCAGCGGAGACAAAACGTCGAGCACATACGACCTCGTGGAGCAGATGCATTACCTCTACGTGAGCGTCGTGAAAGCTCGAGATCTCCCGGTGATGGATGTCTCCGGTAGCTTAGATCCTTATGTGGAAGTGAAGCTCGGCAACTACAAAGGCCTGACGAAGCATCTGGAGAAGAATTCGAATCCGATCTGGAAACAGATCTTCGCCTTCTCCAAAGAGAGATTGCAATCGAATCTGCTTGAAGTCACGGTGAAGGACAAAGATCTCTTGACCAAAGACGATTTCGTCGGAAGAGTCCACATCGACCTCACCGAAGTCCCTCTCAGAGTTCCACCGGATAGTCCTCTGGCTCCGCAGTGGTACAGGCTCGAGGACAAGAAAGGGATGAAGACGAACAGAGGAGAGATCATGCTCGCCGTCTGGATGGGGACTCAGGCCGACGAGTCGTTCCCGGACGCTTGGCACTCCGATGCGCACCGAGTGAGCCACTCGAACCTCTCCAACACTCGCTCCAAAGTCTACTTCTCGCCGAAGCTGTATTACCTGAGGATTCACGTGATGGAAGCTCAGGATCTCGTTCCGTCTGATAAAGGAAGAGTGCCTGATGCGGTTGTGAAGATCCAGGCGGGGAATCAGATGAGAGTGACGAGGACGCCTCAGATGAGGACGATGAATCCTCAGTGGCACGAGGAGCTTATGTTTGTAGTCTCTGAGCCGTTTGAGGATATGGTGATTGTTTCTGTTGATGATAAGATTGGTCCTGGGAAAGATGAGATATTGGGGAGGGTGTTTATACCGGTGAGGGATGTTCCGGTTAGGCAAGAGACCGGGAAAATGCCGGATCCTCGGTGGTTTAATCTCCAGAGACATTCGATGAGTATGGAGGAAGAGAGTGAGAAGAGGAAAGAGAAGTTCTCGAGCAAGATTCTGATGAGGGTTTGTATAGAAGCTGGCTACCATGTTCTTGACGAGTCGACGCATTTCAGCAGCGATCTCCAACCGTCTTCGAAGCATCTGAGGAAGCCGAGCATCGGGATTCTCGAGCTCGGGATTCTCAGTGCGAGGAACTTGGTGCCTATGAAAGGGAAAGACGGGAGGATGACTGATCCTTACTGTGTGGCGAAGTACGGGAACAAATGGGTGAGAACGAGGACTTTGTTAGACGCGCTTGCGCCTAAGTGGAACGAGCAATACACTTGGGAAGTTCATGATCCTTGCACGGTGATAACGATCGGAGTCTTTGACAATGGCCATATCAACGATGGTGGTGACTGGAAGGACCAGAGGATTGGGAAAGTTAGAGTCAGGCTCTCTACTCTCGAGACGGACCGGGTTTACACTCATTACTACCCGTTGCTGGTTCTTACTCCAGGCGGTTTAAAGAAGAACGGTGAGCTTCAGCTAGCCTTAAGGTACACTTGCACATCCTTTGTCAACATGATGGCGCAATACGGAAGACCGTTGCTGCCCAAAATGCATTACGTTCAACCGATACCTGTCAGGCATATAGACTTGCTTAGGCACCAGGCGATGCAGATAGTCGCGACAAGGCTGTCAAGATCCGAGCCGCCGCTGAGACGAGAGGTTGTGGAGTACATGCTCGATGTGGACTACCATATGTTCAGCCTCAGGAGAAGCAAGGCCAATTTCAGCAGAATCATGACGCTTCTCTCCTCAGTCACCATGGTCTGCAAGTGGTTCAGCGATATCTGCACATGGAGAAACCCAATCACGACGTGTCTCGTCCACATCCTCTTCTTGATTCTCGTCTGCTACCCGGAGCTGATTCTGCCCACGATCTTCCTCTACCTCTTCGTGATAGGCATGTGGAACTACCGGTACAGACCAAGACACCCGCCTCACATGGACGCTCGTGTTTCCCAAGCAGACAACGCGCACCCGGACGAGCTAGACGAGGAGTTCGACACTTTCCCGACCAGCAGACCATCGGACATTGTCAGAATGAGGTACGACAGGCTTAGGAGCGTCGGAGGCAGAGTCCAGACCGTTGTGGGCGACCTGGCCACACAAGGAGAGAGAATGCAAGCCTTACTCAGCTGGAGAGACCCGAGAGCTACTGCTTTATTCATCGTCTTCTCGTTGATCTGGGCCGTGTTCATCTACGTCACACCGTTCCAAGTGATTGCGATCTTGCTGGGGCTGTTCATGCTGCGTCATCCACGGTTCAGGAGCAGAATGCCTTCAGTGCCTGCAAATTTCTTCAAGAGATTACCTGCCAAGTCAGATATGCTACTGTAAGTAAATAAACATCATTATATATTTGTAGTAGTGTGTGTATCAAAGAACACAAGTGGAGAAATTTGTAGAGGGAAGCCGAGGAAACTAAGTTTTTGCCTCTGGGGGTTTTATGTATTTTTCCCCCTGTATTATGTTGTTTAATATTCTACATTTAGTGAAATACATATAATGAGCCAATTCTTTTTCACAATGCTGAAAATCTGGCAGAGCAAAAAAACAAAATCCTTCAAAAAGCAGGTTTTGTTTCATTATACGTGAGCGTAATAAGCATAAACCAACAACTTTTGTTTGGATACAGAATACTTCTTTGGATTTGTCTCTTTCATATGTACCTACACAAAATGCACAATCAAACACATTCACAAACATATAACCAATAGAGAAGTGTCTCCGGTGTCAGACGTTATGTTCTTTGGGGGGACAAAATTATCAGTTGTGTGATTAAATGACCTTCGGAATCTTATCATCTCCGACGAGCCATCTGCTTAGCCAACAAGGATCTCCGGCGAAGTTTTGGCATTGCGTAGGAATGATACCGAGATTTCCACCGATCTGAGCGTATTCATTTAAAGCGTTTTCCATATCCGTTTCTGCTTCTCCAATGTCCATTACATCGACTGTGTTCATGCGGAGAACTTCCGCAGAGTTATGTTCTAACTCATGGTCGTTCTCAAATGGTTCCATCGCTGGACACTGGATCATAAAAGAAACAGATAATTTGAGCCCTGTTTCTGCAATATATGGAGAACTTGTTGCGTTTCAGCAAGGTAAAGAAACCGAACCTGACAGAACTGGGCGTAATGTCTGTAGATTTCGTTGTTTTCATCTTGGTCACCGAGGAGAGTACCACCATACCAACCGTTGGACTCATTGGTTGATGTGATTGATAAGTACCTATAAAATGAAACAAGCGCAACAAGTGATTTGGTGGAACTAGAGACGGAAATCTGGATAATGAAAGAAAATACCGATACTAATCAGAATGGAAAATATTCAAAAAAAATGCGTTCAGAAGGATATGTACATTTTAGAGAGGGAAAAAAAATAAAAGCAATACCTTTTGAAGATATCTTCTTGATGATCTTTGGCCTCAGAAAGCCAGCCCAAGTTGCAAAAATCATTGACTCTCTCACTCGCGATCACTCCTTTCTCAATATCGTCTGCACCAGATTTTGAAGCAGAGCCCCTCTCTTCGGGCTTTCTTGAACCAAACAGCCAATTAGGGCTCTTCAGCTGAATCTCACTGCAGATAAGTAAGTCAATAACTATAAGTAACCATCTTTTTACTTTCTAAAAGGGATAAGTCTCCCATTACAACGCTAGGGAAAAAAAAAAGATTCAAGGTTTATTAGTCATTCCCAAAATTCCAGTCAAAGGCTTAATAAGATGATTGAAAATTTCGAATGAGGATCATTACGCTGCATCAGGAGCCACACCAGTGCTTCCAGTGCTGCCACCTGGCCTTTGGTCTGACTCACTACAAAGCCTCACGTTCTTGATTGAACTGCATGTTTGCTCTATCAGTTTGTCAAATGAGGTCAGCTTCATCCGCGAGAAGTCTTCTCTGAAAGCAGGCACTGGTGCCAGGTTGACTCCAATACCACTCATGGGTTTAGCAATGGACTGGAACCTGCAATACACCAGAATTAAAAATCACAAGCAAACAGATGTTACAATCTTTCTTGGGAGAATTCCTTCCAACAAATTTGGTATTTCCCGAACTGGTTCATAAGTTAAAAATCTAATTGAAGATCTTATTTGCAGGCACAGGTTAAAAATCTTATTTGCATCTATTGAAGAGCAAACTCATAATCTGACACGAATTATGTTCATCGAATGTAAATCTTACCCCCTTGGTGGGAAAATATCATCTCCAATCCCTGACACATGGAGATAATAATCAGAATCCAGCTCCCAGAGCGCAGGTTTCCCTTCCTGAGGTTGAAAGTAGCCCAAGAATCTGCTTGCAATAAAAGTCATAAATTACTAGGATTTGAGATTAAATAGAAACGAAAATAAAGAGTCCTTAGCCAACAATTTCTCAGAGGATTCAATATCTTGGTAGTTGATATCATCAGTGATGAGAAGGTACTAGCGGTGATGCCAAGGATCTATTGCCTCAATATATATCATCAAGGAAGCAGAACCCAGAAACCTATTCTAAAAGACTTCATCCTATTGCTACATCACTGGCAAACTAGAAATATTTAGTGCTTAGCAAGAAACTGAAGTGACTTGTGCAAGAAAGAGAAGTGTATTACAAGTTTATGGCATCTTGCTTTTCGCCGTCGGTGTAGGTGTTGCTATAGTATCGTTTGATCGACTTAAGAAACTCTCTAGACTGTGTCGTGGCCTTCCATTTCCCCTGCCTTTCTGGGAAAACCTATAATCCATTCAACAATGTTAACGAATCAGCATTGCAAATCTTGCTTTGTGAAAAGGACTAATAACTGGTCAAAGGTGATTAGTGGTGTTATTACAGTGTTATGAGCAGCTGAGCCACCATACTGTTGTGCAAGAGCGTCGCCCATACTCTGGTACATATCCATAAGTGCAGCAGCTATGCTACTGTCAGGGTCGATCTTAGATGTATCACTCAAACCCATTGCGTGCAGCTGCCGGCCCAAAGCAGCCAAACCGTATGCATACTGTGCTACGTTTGTTCGATCCAAGCAGTCGATGCAGTTAGTACGCAGAACACCACTTTGGTAACGAGGAGCTGAGGAACCAGTTCCATCGTCTCTTTTTGGTTGGCTTAGCTTCATCTCTTTCTCTCGGTTAGCAAGAGCACTAAGTATATCATTTGAACTCTCACCCCTTGAAAGTTCTGCAGAGTAAGCTCTAAGATCACGCAGAGAAGGTTCCCTGCAGTAATTTTATCTATTAAAACCAGAAAGGTAGCTAGTAGCTCCAGTGTTTAGAATTAAATATAGCAGTTAACAAAACATATCAAATTCCTGACTAAATATAAGCAATACCAGACCATATCATTCCAAAACATTACCTTCCAGTGCTAGCATGACTAAGTTGGGTAGCTTTCTTCTTAACAGTTTTAGGCTTTCCACTGAAGTAAAATCCAGTTAAATCAAGGGCTTCGCTTGCTACAGCACCCAAAACAGCCAATACATTCGCCGACTTGCTTTAACATTGAAAAAAGGAAGCTACGTTAGTTCAAGTTAAAAATGCATAATAACAACAATTCCACAACATTTTACCTCTTTGCAAATTTATGGAAATCCCAGTGGATAAATTTGAGATGATTTTCTTCACGAAAAATTGAATTTAGATAGCCCACTGCATTCGCAAACTCACGTCTTAGCACCATTTCCCGAGGTCTTTTCTCAACTGTCTGAATATTTCCATGGAAATTTGCCAGTAAGTCCAAAGGGCATAACCATCTCTTGCTTAAAAGATATTAAAGAAAACTAACCTTGATTAAGTTGAGCACAATGATCGGATTCCCATATCGCATCACCAGGTCTTCAAAATGCATTTTGGTTGACTCGTATGTAGGATCATACCTCTGTACTGAGGCAAAAAAAAAAAAAAAAAAAAACAGGAAAAACTAAGGAGATCAATAACCACACACCAATAAATATTGTCTAATAGAGATAACATGCGCATGTTACGTTAGCTTCTCACAGAAAATATCAGGCTTAGGGCTAAATCTCGAGGCCTCTTGCGACCAAAAGAGTGGAATTGATCCTCGCATCTGCACTACTGAGGTCATTTTCCCCTTGCATGATCCAGCTTCTTCATCAAAAACAAGCTGTTCTGTTTCAACATCATTCGCAACCCTTCCACGATCATTCACTCCCCTTTTCAAGTAACTGCGATAAAATAAAAATTACATAATGAAAAAAGGCACTACATATTTCACAGAAAACAAGAGAGACAAGCTTCCAAACTAGTCAAGAAGAGTTCACACCACTCAATATTATGTTCACCCTAATTAGACTAAAGTCTTACCGTGTGCCTGCAAAATGTCGAGATCGTCTGGAGACTAGAGTAACACTGAAGTCTCTTCCATATATCGAAAGCCTTATCTGAATAATGAGGCAAACCAATAAATCATAAAAAGACCATTTAAACTCTACTGGTGCTGAACGTATAAGTATATAGGCAAAGACACAAGAGCCTACGTACCTGCTTAAAATTCCCATGAACTAATGCTACTGTCCAAATAGTGTTGTTACACCTTGATCGAATAGGCTGTGTCAGATACGCATTCCACACAAATATGTTATCATACGGCACCCCTTCCTCACCAGATGACAAAACGTTCTTTTGCAAACTCTGCATTATAGGATAAGTGTAGCTGTAGAAGAAATCTTTCGTCAAATCTACGCTTGACAAAAGCTTCTTGTACCTGCAAATAAAGTAAATACAAAGAACTCAAAACACGTAATTTTTTTGTGAAATCATATAAGGTGCAGTAAGAAACGGACCTTAGTTCAGTTTTGGAATTTGCAACATCAGACTGAATAGTTGCATGTGGAACACTGATCATTTGACTTTCATCAATAGCATATATCGCATGCCCACAAATGCATCCGATTTGTCGATGTTTTGTCACCAAAATCAAATAGTATGACTCCATAAACTTAGCGCAACCTACAAGGCAAAATCATTCACCGAAACTTAGCCTAGCAGACAAACTCTAAAGATACAATGAGAAGAACATTGTTGTTCAAGACTAACCAGCAATTCCATAAACTTTGGCCACAAAAGCCAATCCTCCAGTAGCACGATTGCCTTCAGCGATACGCTGAAGCAAGCTCTTGATTTCCTGCGGAGAATACACTACAGGATCTTCGCTTATGTTGAGCTCTGATGGCTCTGAACGATCAATCTTTAGCACTCTGAAGAATCTTTTGTTCCTATCACTCCCAAGTAGATAAAACCTCTGCTCAACATACAACACACACAACAATAAGAACACATCCAAGAGAGTCTAAAGGATGCAAATCATTCCAACACACATCAATCCAAAGGAAGTACCGATAATGGTAAATAATGGAAATTTCGACAGATTTTGCAGCGGTCTTCTCAATAAGTAAAACAGATATTCCAGAATCTGGCTTTCGAAATATTGATGGCTAATATCGGTTAAGCTTACCGCTCTGGTTTCGTAGAGCTTGAATTTCTCGAGGGCGTATGAATCGGGATCGGCCTCTGCATCGTTGGACGGTTGAATCTTGGCGAAAGAGGAGAAACTAGAAGTCGTTGGGATTTCCGATTTCGCCATGGCGGATTAATCTCTCCGGAAACGATCGAATTTCTCTGACGCCGGCGCTCCGATGGTTTCAGGCGATCATTTGCGATCGGGAAACGATAACTCCTCGCACAGACAAGGGGCGTTTCCGTACTTTTCTAATTATATTGATTGTGTCCACTGTTTATATTCTTTGTCCCTTTGAAATGTTTAATTCTGTTGTTAAAATTTTGGATGAAATATTATACGTAAATACAGTCTTGTAATTTATAAATTTTGATACATAGTACTAATGAAAAACTAACACCTTCAAAATTGTTTATAGTATGTATAAAAAAACAAAATTTAACACTTGTCTGTAGTTTCATTTTTCAAGTCAATCCTCATCAACATACTCCCTACATGATCCGTTTCGATATCCACAAACCACAGCCAACCAAATTCGTTTGCTTTCTCCCACCATCCATATTCATTAATCACATGTATGCATATATAGATAAACAAATACGTCTTCTGTAATTGTTCTTACAGCTTGAGTTACTACAAAATGTTGAAATCCCCACTTTGTTGCCGAGAGTTATCAGCTTTTGCTGCTCCTCCGTTTTCTTTATCACAGAGCAAAAGACAGATTGTTACGGAACGATGCGATTCCTTCCAAGTTTCTGCAGCAAAAACCGGAAATTTCTCTCTTGGTTCGGTAAGACTTCTTGACTCAATAATATCTAAAAGCATTTGTATACAATATTATGTTATCATCATCGTTCGTCAATGAAGAGTTTTGTTAATTCTTTGAATGTTGATATATATGTGATGAACTAAACAGATATTCAAAAATTGCGAGACTTGTGGATCCAAAGGAGCAATTGACTGTCCCGGTTGCAAGGTACTAACTAAATTAATCTTGATAATATCTTCAAGTGAGTCTACCTATTACTTTTTTCTTGACCTATATTTATGCATCTAATTTTTTGTCGCATTTAGCATATGTATAAATTTGTTTTTCTAATGTTGCCTCCAGGGAACAGGTAAAAATAAGAAAAACGGAAATATGTTTGAGAGGTGGAAGTAAGTAAAAGCTAAATAAAAATTTATAAATCAATCGAAATTCTCCAGTTGAATGAGTTGTTAAGTAAATATTAAATAGAGAAACTGGAAATGTGCAGATGTTTTGATTGTCAAGGATTTGGTATGAAAAGCTGTCCTAAATGTGGCAAGGGAGGTTTGACGCCTGAACAGAGAGGGGAAAGATAGAAAGAACTATACTATTTGTTTCTCTTACACAGATACATTTTGTGATAAACATGTCTCTACATATACCTCTGTAACTTTGGATGTAATTTGCATTATACAGTATATGGCTTTTAACTTTAACAGACTTAGTGAAATGAAAGTTAAATGCGACGTATAGAATCAGATGTGGAAATGGAGCGTTTAAAAGTGGCAGTGCAAAAAGGATATATATATATATATATATATCATACATGAACTTTTATTATCAGCGTTAATTTATGTTTACTTTGGAAAATAATCTAACTATATAAGTCATAAATCGGAAAGCATTTAAAAAAAACAGCTCGATACGAAACATATGAAAGATTCAAGCTTGCAGAAAAAGAGTTTGTTAGAACTATTATATTAAAAAGTCACAACGCACATGTTCAGCATAATAATATTGACTCTTAACAAAGTTCGAAATATATTGAGATGTAGCGTGAGGAAATAAGAAGCTTGTTTGCGATAAGCCAGGTTTGGCCTGGCAAGTGACTGCCATATGTCATTCATTCCAATCAAGTTATGCCATATGCGCCAACTACATGTCGATTATTTTAAACATGTTACCCACCGTTTTACAAGTGAATTTCCATTTTAAAAATGCATATAAGATAATAGATGAACAGTATACGATAACTTCGTTTCCAAATCTAATAGGACCAATTCTTCTGAGTGTCTCTTGCAAGAAACCCAGATGAACAAACAAACAAAATTAAACAATTGTTTATACTTAACAATAGTGTGTTTTTAATTGGACCGTCGTTATAAGAAGTTACGTTATGGAAATTCCGAAAAAATGGCTTAACGGACACAACACAAACAGTAGAAGACCAAGAAGAGACAGAAATACACATGCCCAACCCAATAATTCAGTTATCCAACTAATCTACCAAAAATTAATATTTTATTAGAAAACAAAAAAAAAATAAGGAGAGAGAAAGTGTGATAAATCATATGAGAGGACACGTGGAAGTACGTGAGAGAAGTAGCGTGTGGAGAGAGTGATTGGGGGAGAGAGAGAGAGGGATTGAGAGTATTGAGAGATAAAAAGACAGCTACCTACTCATCTTCCCAATCTATCTACCTACTTTCTTCCAGATCTACTCTCTCTCTCTCTTGTCTTTTTTTCCTTTTAACGCAGATATTTTATATCAGTGAGATTTAGATTAGTTGATAATTTTTCCTTAATGATGCAGTAAGATTTGATTAAACAGTCAGAAATGACAGAGATCCACTACTCTTTTCACTGCTTTATAGAAATGTGTGATTGGTTAACAAAATTGTAAAGTCATTACAATAATATCTTCCCTATCTACAAAAATAGCCGAAAAGTCAATAACCAAACCGTACGATCTACATCTGAATACAAAAAAGGTTTGGAAACCCCACGTTCCTCCTGTGTGTGTACCAATCAATTTTAATTTTTTTTTCTGGTTGTTACAATATTATTAGGCACAAATTTTGTTAAAATGACCACATCGTCGTTCATTTGTAGATCGAATTATTTAACTTGGGGGTATTAAAATATAGGTTGTTAGTTATTATAAATAACATTCAAAACGAAACATCCTACAGGAACTCTCTTCCTTCAAAATAAAACATCCCAAAATCCTCTCTTCCTCCAAACATACAAATATATATACAGAGATCGAAGAAAGGAGAGGCCATTAAAGAGAGATGGGAAGGTCACCTTGCTGCGAGAAAGCTCACATGAACAAAGGAGCTTGGACCAAAGAAGAAGATCAGCTTCTCGTTGATTACATCCGCAAACACGGCGAAGGCTGCTGGCGATCTCTCCCTCGCGCCGCCGGTATTTATACATACTCACTTATACACACACATATATATATATATATATATATATATTCACAGAGAGAGAGAAAGACAAGTAATAGCTTAATTTGATTATAAATTTGCAGGATTGCAGAGATGTGGTAAGAGTTGTAGATTGAGGTGGATGAATTATCTAAGACCAGATCTCAAGAGAGGTAATTTCACAGAAGACGAAGACGAACTCATCATCAAGCTCCATAGCTTGCTCGGTAACAAGTACGTTTCCTCTCTCCCTCTCTCTCTCTCCCATCAATCATAACAGAGGATCTCGGAATTTTGGAAAAATCTAAAATTTGGGAGAATTCATTTTGCAGATGGTCGTTGATTGCTGGGAGATTACCAGGAAGAACAGACAACGAGATCAAAAACTATTGGAACACTCACATCAAGAGGAAGCTTCTCAGCCGTGGGATCGACCCAAACAACCACCGTCCGATCAACGAATCCACTCCTTCGAAAACGACGCCGTCTGTAGTGGAGGAGCCTGTGCAATTCGATTTCGCCGGACCGGATCAACTGCGGACGATTAAACCGGAACCGGTGTTATTAAACCGGGAAGAGGGTGATAATAGCGGAACGACGTCGGAGAAGGATATACAGACTGACGACGATTGGGTGCTCAATTTGGAACTCTCTGTTGGACCAGCGAGGACGACTCGTAGTAAAGCGAATCCTAACTCGGCCGAGTCGACTCGACGGTGGGGCTCAGAGCTGTCCGGAACTCAGGCTGTTGTGTGTTTGTGTTGTCGGATAGGGTTTCATAACGAGTCGTGTCGGAATTGTCGGATTTCCGATGTTAGAACAACCATTTGGGAGTCGAAAATTCTTTAGGAATCTCTAATATTATTAGTTTAATTTGTAATTTTTGTTTGTTTTCGATTTGTTGTGTAAACGCATCAAGCAACAAAATAGGATGATTTATCTGATGGGGGAAAGAGATTAATTAATTGATATAGTATTGTTATTTCTTATGTGATCAAATCCATAAATATATATATATTTCCATGTGAATTTTCAGGTAAAGGCTATGCATAAGCATAAGCATAACTAATTCAACCGATTTATTTAAAATTGTTCCTAACATTTGATTGGATTTATACAAAAGGTGGTGACTGAGTCACAAAAGCGGATGACGCAATCCTTGATGCAGATGCAAAAACCATACCTAACTGTTTGGTTTGGTTGGTGTCATGGCTTTTTGTATATGTATGTGTTTCAGTAAATACTTTTTCGTTTGTTTGTTTGTACGTTCCTACGAAATTTATTGTTTTCAGAATTTTAAACAATATATTGAAACGTGACAGAAAAATATCAAGTATATATTGACGCCAATTGATGTTAGAGCATAAATTTAATTTCGGTTTCATTCCTTCATTCACTGGTTCTGTGTTCTGTCTTTTACATATTGGATTTTTTCAGCATATGCAAATCGATTGCACAATTGCATAGGCCAAGCAAACATGTGATTTTGGAGGAACTCGAAACAAACAAAATCTTCCAAGAATGTTTATAATGGAGCATTCCCGTTTTCATTAGTTATCAAATTGTAAGCAATTTGTGTTTATATAGAAGTGAAATTCCTTTGTGATTTCCTTCCCTCATTTAAATACGAAGAAAGATTAAAGTCAACGTGATTCACTTCGTCTCCGGTTTTGTTTTTGCTTATCGGGGAATGACAAGTGTAGCATAATTTAACATAATGACATATTTACAATTGATAGCTAAGAGAATAATTAACAAAATTATATTGTGGAAGGTCTTTCTCAGAAAACTAACTGAGATCTTCATTTACGTAATGGATATCAACACATTAATGGATCCTTAGTCAGCACTCAGCAATAAGAAATCGAAAATTACACATTAAGCTTTTAGAAGAAGCACGTTATAAAATAAAGAACGAGGTTATTGAATAGTTGTTGTTATGATTACACCTAATATTAAGATATATAACCAGCACCATTATCTTAACCTTTTAGAGTGGACTGTGGACATCATGTAACGTGCCAGCTCCAATCTGGTTACAGCATGTGGTTTCCTTAAAACAATTTTTTATCAGAAAGAAATGATATATTCTGAAATCGAAGTTTAGGCTCTTTTAGGTAGAATCTCACCTAAAAGCTGGTTTAATTACAATAAGTACGTGAGGTTTCGTTATAAAATACCGAATTTCATGTGCATCTAGAGACAAAATCTTGTTTCATTTGAAACTGTTACAATCGAACAATAATATATTTTCAATTTTATGACCAAAATATACATGATTTTTATATTTACGAAGTAAAAGTGTAAAACAACAAGAAGTCAAAATATATATTAAGCTTTTTTTATAAAGAAAAATATATTTAGCATTTTAACACTATACAAGAAGTTGTATGTTGCCTGTAACAGATAATTGTTCTCGGATTAACAATTCAACAATTCATAGGAAATGATTATTATTTTCTTATCTTTGTTTTAAAATGATTAAAGAAAATTTGTTTTATGAAGAGAATTATTTCTACTTCATTTTTTTGGAGAAGAAAAGATTATTCGAATAGGGGCCAAAGTCTAGAATATAAGCAGGTGAGCTGGGGTAGAAGATAGATAAAAACAACATGTGAGATGTTGGGTGGTAGGTAACCGAATCTATGATCAATGAATAATTGAAAAGAAAGGGATAATTATTGTAAAAATATTTTCTATAACAAGAACTATAATAAAAAAGGGTGGAATATTAATGATAGTACGAGTTAAGAGGAGAAAGTGATGATGTTGCACATGCAGTTAGCTAGATTGAATCGCATGATCTTTAGCCAGCCATGCACTGGTTTTTTATATGTCCTTCTATCAGTTTATACGTAAACTTTTATTTTTTTTGTAACTGAGAAGTTTGAGATTTTAGAGTTTTTGTGTGACAGTTTATACGTAAACGTCTTACATCTATTTAACAAAAATTACTATTTATACGTATAGCCTCGCATTTGCTGTTCCAATAGTTCTCCTTTTTAAGAAATGTATATTTTGTTTATCACAGAAGCTTCCTTGCTAGCAAGCAAAGCGCTTGTGGTTAATTATATATGTTTCATTTGGTAATGTATTCACATTTTATGTATATATAAGAAAGGATTATGTTTAAGACTCTGATTAAAATCGCGGCACTGGACCACCCGTTACGCGCTACTCAATGATTGATGAGGGCCAAAACCAAATTGTGGAAAAAAACATTATGTTAAGTTTATAGCAAAAAAATATTGATAGCTATAGTTCTTAGTAAAGTAGTATTCTTTTGGTTAAACCCTGATTTGTGAACTCACTTGATTTGGATTTGAAATGTATCGCAAATATGTTTGGATAAAGTTGGGTCACGAGACTCAAGACTCGCGAGTCAGGAAACGAAACGCAGACTAAAATTAAATAAAGCGGGCCATCACCTGACAAAACTAACCGATTTTCTATTGGATGGCTGAGATTCTCTCTTCTTCATTTCATATCCGAATGGTCGTCCATGCCTCCATGTTATATATTCTCAATTATTCCATCCTTTTTTGAATTTCGCTTCTTCATTCATTTCTTTGTCTGCCCTTCACGAGACTTAATATATATTTTCCGATGATATATCTATCCACGTACAGTTTCACTGGAACGAAGTTTGAACTTCTTTACAACGCTACACGGTCAAAGTTTTAACACCTAAAATCACACACAAATTTAGAAGCCATATCTAAACTATACATCATTTTAAATTATTGCAATTTTATGTTCAATAATTTCAAGATATTGAACATTTTGAATTATGTTCAATTTTATGTTCAATATCCCAACCGAGGCCGAAAGAAATCGGCTATTCTGACGTCAAGATTAGCAAGTAAGCTACTGTAGTTTGATTTGATGCGTCTGTGGATCACCGGAGAATGAAAATCGTGGTGGTCGTGGAGGTAGGCGAGGCCGTGAGCGACGCCCAAACGCGATGTTGTAAGTTGTAACGCACAACCAAGTCAACGAGCAGCCTCCCGACGGCGTTTTTGACGTGTGTCGCGTTGACGAGGTTTACGTTTGAGCATGAATGCGTATACAATCATATCATGTTTTAATCGTTGTACAGGAACCCCACGATGTTCTTATGTCTCAATGAAAATTGTACTTTTTGTTTACTCTTTAATTTTCTTAGATAATTATGGTTTTGGAGTGTTTTTCCTAATCGAATTAGAAGTTGACTCTCCCATTATGCTAGGGTTAATTTTGATCATTGACCAAGTGGACTCATGTTTTCAGAGGCAAATAACTCCAAGATTAAGGTTGATGCAGCTTTTTTTTAGCAAACCAAACGGAGAAACACTAGACAAGTACGCTGGTAATTATTTTGGCCATAGCAATGCCAAAGTGTTGTTGGTTCCTATTATATATAAACAACAACTCTGGAAGTTGGATCTTCATTGTATTACTCTAGAGATTGTATATAGGAAGAAAGATATAAACAGAGAGACTAAATTAAAAAATGAAAAAGATGAATTACATGTGGTAAACAAAATCGTCTACAAAATGGTTATAAATTATCAATCATATCCCACTACGTGTACACACTAAAGACAATACTACAAAATGCGTTGAACTTGTAAAACAAAATTTAGAAACTAACAAAATTCTTGCTGAATTTTCTCAAAGATTGATAAGGATCGGATTAACAAGTCCAAGAATAAGATCTCTTAATGACAGGTTTGGTCTGCTTGTCTTCTTCCAACGAGATCATTCCAAGATGAGAAGGATCTTCTAACATCATCTTGGCGACCAAGTAACCGGCGATGGACCATGTCTGAAACTTCCTCGCCTGTTTTCCGATGAACCTTCCCGATTTGCCGTCGTAGTACTCCGGCCAACCGTCTTTCAAAAGCCGTGACTCTGCCAGGTCTATGGCCCGCCTCGCTATCTGTGGCCGTCCCGTCTTTATGCACGCAGCTGTTAATAGCCACAAGAGCACTGCTTTTTGCGGCCGCCGGAGAAAACAAATCCGACACAAAAAGAACAAAATTAAATTATTATCCGCACGTAAAGTAAATAGCACTAATAATCAATCAAAGAGGGAATCAGTTTGATTCAAAAAAAAAGACACACAAAATTTTCCAAAAACATTTCCTTGTTTCATTTGGAAATGAATAAATTAGTTTTATATAAGTTTGAATTTTGACTGATGAAAACACTTTCCGTAAAGTTGATTTATGCATTTTCTTCTGAATGATTTTGTTTCAACTTTACAAAGTCTAAAACTAAAAGTAATTTACTTATAGCCTATCTTAACAGTTAAAACACTCCTATCAAAATGTTGACTTCCACATAGTTAAAAGATAACAAGAAGATGCAAATTTTGTAGATTGTCATAATTATGATAAAAATAAGAATTTCAGGAAAAGAAAAGTCACCTGGCCAAGAACCACCGTTATGGTAACTCCACCGAGTATTCTTAGGGTCACACCCGGTAACGATCCTCCACTCATGGCTCTCGATCGCCGGATGACAAATCTTAAGCGGCATCTCTCCGACCAACTCCTCCCACCGTTCCTCAATCAAATCCATAATCGCCGCCGACTGCTCAGGCGTTGACAAAGAAGCAAGAATAGCTACACAATTACCAAGAGCGAACCACCTGAAATCCATACGAGCCGGACTAACGTTTCCTATGAAGTAACCGCCACGGAGCGGCATGAAGTCGAAGACCCACTCAGGGATCGAGTCAGGGATGACGTTGAACTTGTTGACCGCCGTGTGCGAGTACTCCTCCGTCTTGTAACGGTAGATGTCGTTGAGCTGCTGAAAATCGAGCCAGAAGTAGCTTCTCATGTGGAAGCTAAGCGCGTGTAGCCTCTTCTCTATCTTCTCCATAAACTCTTTCCCTTCTGCGTCGTGCTTTAGCATCGACATTGCTGATCGCAGAGCCATGAAGAAGAGCGCTTGGATCTCGATCGGGTACCCATAAACCCCCTGCGCACGCAAGAAGACTCTCTACGTTACACACTAACTATAAACAACCCTAAACCGAACCGAAATATGTCTATAGAAACCAAACAAACCGAACCAAACCAAAGAAACCAGTATACTTTATTAAATTTATGGATTTAAGATAGAAAAATGAAATGGATGTAACATTAAAAGTTATATTTTTCTAAAGTTTTGCTATTTTAAAATCCAAAACCAAACCAAGTCAACATTTAAAAAGAATTAAACCTGAAATTATTTTTTAGATTATATTTTGGTATAGATAACACTCTTAACCGAACCGATATTTGCTGATGGGTTATAGAGTAAGACAATTGTAAGTTTAATACCATTCTTCGATCGACCATGGAGCAACCATCAGCGCAAAGCAAAGTTGGGAAAGTATCGAAACCTTCGGAGAGACAAAGAGAAAGAACGAGTCTCATTCCCTTTTGACACTCAGGTGTTTCCGCTAGAGAATAGTCTCCGGTCGACTTGGTGTAGGCTCTGAGGAGGATGATCCACCAGAAACCCGAGTCAACCGGAGCCACTCTTCCGATCGCGCTCTCTCCGAAATCAGCGATGATAGTGTCTGTTTTCTTGACCGGGTCGTGAAGAACCTTGAAGCTAGCAGGCATCGCGCCTTCCCCGAGCTTGAACCGGTCGATTTTTTTCTCCCTTCCTTGGATTTGTAGTGTCTTGAGGAGGAAGTTCTTGACTATATCTGGCTCTCCGTTCATTAGGAAAGCTAGTGCGCTTGGCACAAAGTCCCTCACGAAAACCTAACCAAACGTTTCAAAAACAAATGTTATTATAACTCAAAATGTTTCTCTTTCTCTAGAAAAGATTAATATCTTTTTTTTTTTTGCCCTAACGTAATCAGAGAATCATTTTCAAGACAGAACATGGTTGATCTGGACGTTGGAAGAAAACGAAACCTGGTCATAGTTCAAGACTTCCTCGGAAGCATGGTCGTAGGCAGCGAGAGTACCGACGGGTTGGCCACGGAAGTAAACCAAGGATCGGCGGAGAGCATCCCAAGCCTCGGCGACCATAGGGTGAGGCTCGAAGGAGTTTCTAGTGGAAGATGCCGGAGTCTCCCATCCGCCGGGAGAATTGATGTTGTCGAATATTCCTGCGATTTCGTTGAAGGACCTCTCCTCGAACGATCTTTTTCTTTCGATGTTTAGCCTCGGACGGTCGAGTAACCGAGCCAGGTCTTCTTGGTCAGATATCGAGCTTTGAGAGTTTACTCCTCGGAGATTGTCCATGTGGAATAATCACTAGCTTTGTTCTCAGTATAGATCTGGGAGAGAACACAAAAAATAGAAGGTAATATTATTAAAACGTTTTTGTGAAATGATTTGTTTTCTTCGATTTTAAGGATTAGGATATTGGAACATAACGAAAAAATTGTAACGGAAATATTTTGTTTTGGATTATCTGGATCATTAGCACTGTTCTTATTAATGTAAAAAAAAAATCGTACAGTAAAATAGTGGAGGAAATAAAAAAAAAATATGAAAAAAATGCAGAGAAAACCTGAGAAGGAAAGGAAAAAACGGACCTTATTAAGACGGAGAAACCGGCCGGCGAAGAGAGATATGTGTGAGAGATAAAGAAGAAGAAGAAGAAAAGGAAAAAAAAATTATGGAAGGAGGAAGTGAGATATATATAGAGATAGATAAACGACGAACGTGGAAAGTCTCTCATTTTTCTCTTTCTTTTTTGACTGTGGTTATGGTGGAGAGATAGAGAGAGAGACAGAAGGCTATTGGTGTTCGTTGAAGGGAGAAGACGATTGGAGCGTGGAGATCACGCGAAGGTAACGACATCGTTTTTGGTCTGACGATCTTTCTTGGTTGAATATGTATCGATTGGGCCACTGGACTTTTCGCCGGTTCGATCGGCTTTATCGATAACCTTTTTTCTCTATAGTTGTAAAAAAAAAATGTTTTATTACAGTCTTTTTGAAATTTTGCTTTTAATTAGTGATAGCTTGACCAATTAGCATAACTTGTCGGACTTCAATATGTCACTTATCGGGGCAAGTTGCATCCTGAAATCCAATTAGTTTGTATGTATCGTAGATTAAATCCAATTGTTTTTCAATTATGTATGCAACAAATACGTATGTATAGGACTTGTTGGTAAAGACGTATATGCGGAGGATAAACTTTGGTCACACTGAATTCGCGTTGTCCATATTTAGGCAAGATACCCCAGTTTACGCAATAATTGTATACAACTGTTTACATCAAATAAAACGTGGATTAGGCAAAATATATTTGTCAGTGGAGTCTAGCGGTGCATGCGGTTCACGTGGACGATGTTAAATCGAGGATTTATGTTTTTGCTTTTCAAGTCAGGTCCTATAGTTGATGATGGAAGCTGAAAAGTGAGAGATGATCGCAGTTTCAACTATTCCACCTGTATGACTACATAAATTGACATCTGTGTACAAAACCTGATAAGTCTCCAAGGACCTAAGTTTTTGTAGTTACCAAAATACAACAAATTTATGTCTTTGTGACTTTGTCCTCGATTTTATTTGTTACGTACATTGTCATCAACAGGGGATTGGAGGGTTTTTTTTTTTCTTGGCATATTCAAGATCTAATAATTAATGCACTTTGCATGCGTGTAAATCTATTTAAAGATTTATTATAGCTTCGTAGATTTCACGTACAGTCTTCAATGGTAGATTAAAATAGAGTTGCTATATTAGGATATTTTGACCAGATAAAAGAGAGTTGCACATTTTATTTACCCTATTAAACATACTTTCAACTCAATATCAGTCACTTTGTAAGGTTGGTAATACTTTATTTTACTTCTATCACCCAATGTCTCATATACGGTCCAAATATTTGTCCACAAGATCTAAAATATGAATATAATGCATCAAAGCATCAAATCTTTTTAGTTTGATGCGTCAAATGTTATATATCTGAATGAAAAGTTCTATTTAAAATTAAGTAATTAAACAACTACTGTACGTAATTCGTTTATTTTTTAAAACTCCGGTTTGTAATGAAATTTGGGTCTTTATTGGGCCACATAACTGCTCTGACTAATACCGATCCAACATGGCCCATACACTCCGCTGGTTCAGACGCAGTTCCCGTAAATCGCCGCAGGCGAAAAACGCGCCATTAAGCGAGCCGCCAAAAAACCATGAGATTGTCTCTTCCAATCAACACTCTTATAAATCTCCCGAGACCTCTTCTTCTGATTTCCCGTTCTCGCTACCGTTATTCTGGCCGTTCGCTAACCGTCGCGTTTCGTACTTCACCGCTTCTTCCTCCTGTTTCCGGTGCTGTGTCTCCTGGTCTGTGCTGTTGCTGGTTCTCGACGACGAAGGCGATGACGACGACTGTTGGTGGGGATGAGGAGAAGCGGTCGGTGATCTCAGTCGAGTTGAAGGAGAATATCGATCTCACTGAGAAAGAGAAGAAGATTTTCGATCGGCTTCTCGGTACTCTCCGGTTTTGCAACCTCGACACTCAGCTTCGCGTCGCCGGTGGCTGGGTGCGAGATAAGGTACTACTCTCCGACACCTGGCGGCATTCAATTCGATAATTTCAGGGAATAGTCCAAATTTCTCGATTTTAGATTCTCTGACCCTATAAATAGAAAGTTCGAAAAGATTTTGTGGAATTTGTCTAGAGGAATCGGTTGATCGAGGAGGATTTGGCATTGCCTACGTTTATCAGACTGGAAATTTCTGGTGTTTCCAGCGTTTATGTTTGCTTTATCTTTGATTTCAGCTTCTAGGGAGAGATAGTGATGATATTGACATAGCAATCGACAATATGTATGGAAGTGAGTTTCTTGATAAGCTCAAGGAATATTTATCTTCTAGAGGCGAAGAAGTACAAGGCGACACTATCATTGAAAGGTCTTGCAACTTTTCAAGTTTCGTTTAGGCTTGTAATTCCAAGCTTTTCCTCTCTATAGTGCTTGACACGTTAAACTGGTTTATTTTTGTTGGTCTTGTTCAGGAATCCTGAACAATCCAAACATTTGGAGACTGCAAAGATGCGCATTTATGACCAGTGGATAGATTTTGTTAATCTGAGGAGTGAAGAATACGCAGAAGATAGCCGGATTCCTACGATGGTACTACTCCTTATTTGTCTGCTACAAAATGCATAAAAGTAGCTATTGAAATTATTGTAGTAATCAAGGGTTGCAGAGGAAAGGACCTACGTGCTTGTGCTGCTTAGTTTTAAGTTTTTAATTTCTTCCCTTTATGACAGAAATTTGGCACTGCAGAAGAGGATGCGTATAGGAGAGACTTAACCATAAACAGGTACTCTCATCTTCTTCAAGAACAGGAAGTAGCGTCACTATGATGTATGATCTCCTTATTGCTGAATGCAAACTTGGACATTTTTATGATTTCTTAAATTTGACAGCTTGTTCTACAACATTAACACTGGCTCAGTAGAAGATCTTACAGAACGAGGTTAGTGCATCCTAGTTTTCGCCTCTTTCATTTCCTCTGATGTTCAGAATAATAGTTAACAGATTAAATCACAGGCATCAGTGACCTCAAATCCGGACGAATTGTTACACCAATGCCTGCAAAAGCTACGTTTCTGGATGATCCTTTACGAGTTCTCCGGGCTATTCGATTTGGTACTTGTGTTTTTCTTTTCATTTGATGTCATTTCATTGCCCATCTCAGATCCTTCATTCGAGCTATGCCGCTCTTGTTTTGCCACTCTTGGTTAATCTACTGCCGTAACAGGTGCAAGATTTGGTTTTGCGCTTGATGAAGAACTAAAACAAGCTGCTTCAAGTGAGGAAGTAAGGGTAGCTCTTGGAGAAAAAATTAGCAGAGAGCGGATCGGGAATGAAGTATGTATCTGATCTTCCTTCTTGCTAAATATAGCTGCTTTCTCTGGAACTTCTCTTTGTAGGGTTTATCGATACACAACTTTATATTTTTGTTGGTGCAGATCGATTTGATGATATCTGGGAATGGACCAGTTTCGGCAGTAACGTATCTTTCTGATTTGAAACTATTTAGTGTTGTCTTTGCCACTCCGTCTTCATCTGAGCCTGCACCATCAGAGAATTGTGGCAGGTTTATCTCATTACTACTTTTTTAGCACCTGGGAACCTCGCAAATCTGGTTCTGTGACACTGGTATTTAAACACTCACATGTTTCGCTATTTTAGCCTCTGCCAAGCCTACTTGGAAGCTATGTGGAACCTCATTCAAACACCCGCGCTAGGAAAGTTCAGTGTAAGTTATTGCTTTCGGGATTGGTTCTTGTTTAACCGCTAAAGTTGGAGTTCCCTTGTCTTCTTATCTTCAGTTTAATTTTTATTCATGTCTTATCGTTTGGTTTCAGGCTGAACAAAGAAGGCTTGCTCTGTATGCTGCACTGTTTATCCCCTTCAGGAAGACCGTTTACAAAGACAATAAGGGCAAATTGGTACTGTAATTCCTCACGTATTTGAACTTTTGTCATCTTTTCTTTGGTTAGATAAAGTTGAACTGGTTGTTTATAAATTTGAATTTGGTTGTTTAAGTTAACAAAACTTGAGCCTTTTTTTTTTCCAGATTCCTGTTGTCAACCACATCTTCAAATTCTCCATGAAGCGAAAGACCAGTGATGCTGATACGGTGAGCTCTGATAATTCATTGAAATTTTCCATATGTTAGCCCTTATTGTCAGTGTGGTCCTGTTCAAGGGAACACTATCTCGTTTTACCATGCCTTTTTTACGTTTGACTGCTCTACAGATTAGCAGATTCATCACTATCATGATAACAAAATCCTTCTTCTCCAGGTCATAAATATTCATCGCACCACAGAGAGATTCCTCTCGTTGATTCGTCCCCTTCAGTCGAAGAATGACGCACAACTGGACAAGCTTGATTGGGCCCCTGATGTTCTTGAGCACTGGAAGTCCATCTCCCTTGATGATCCAGAAGTCCCAGCATCTTCGAAGATAAGAGTACTCACAGGTACTCCTCTATAAACTCTATGGTATTGTATTTGGTGAATCGAACCTTCGTGATGTCTTCCTGTTTCTTATACAGTATTCTGAATATCGTGAGAGTCCTAATTCTATAGATAATCTGAACAACCAATTGATACGATAACTTTTAACTTTTGATAATCTTCTCTGTAACTTTAATATCATTATAACTAAAATGGTATGTTTTGTTACTATCTCAGGGTTTCTTCTCAGAGATATCAAAGACTTCTGGCGTGTTGCACTCTTGACATCTTTGTTGTTGAGTACGGTTGATGGCATGAACGAAGATCAAGAAATCGGGCACCTGGACTTCCAACTGGACAAGTTGCGAGAAAGTTATCTAACAATCGAGGAAACCATCCGTGAACTGGGTAAGCTTTAGTATGTTTAATAGACTGTAGCATCAAAGATGAGTTTTTTCCAAGAAAAGACAGAAGAACTAGAACTAAGAGCATCAAAATGAACGCGAGAAGCTGTTTTTCGGATAATAAGTTTGTTTCTTGATTGAACATTACAGGTCTTGATAACATATGGGACGTAAAGCCTCTGGTGAATGGCAAGGAGATCATGCAAATTGCGGAGGTTAGCGGATCCCGCATCCGTGAATGGGTAAGGAGACTTCATATATCATTTATTGAGTCTTGGATTGTCTCTTGCTTCTCTCTTATACATAAGGCCGATTGATCTGTTTTTGCAGCAACAGAAAATTATCACATGGCAGCTAGCTTATCCCAATGGCTCTGCAGATGAATGCAAGGATTGGATGAAAGAAATCAAAGCAAAACGACAACGGACTGAGTGATTTGACTTAAGAATCTGGTACCTCACTCTGCTCTGTGTAGTCTTTAAATCAGTTGACATTGTAGTTTTAGTTAAATCTCAGATATCTCAAAAGTTTTGAATAGAATTACTCACACTAAGATTAAACTTGGGGTCTCATTTGACATTTCTTCGGTATCTAATTAGTCTTTGGTGCTTGAGCTGCATGTTTCTTGTCGCAACAAAAAATGGTATTTAAAGAAATAAAACCAACATGCACAGAAAGGTAATATACATTCATCGGCCCTTGGTGGCTATTAGATAGCTAACCAAGGATCTGACATCAAAAGCAGAAGAATCCTTCCCTTTTATGAACCAAACCAAACCGGACCTAGAGAGGCACAGATTCTTCCATGGTGTCTGCTGGAAGCTTGGTCTTAACAGTCTCGAAGCGAGTGAGAAAAAGAGAAAGGAGATAATGAACTGAACCGATGATTTGTTGATTGGACTAAACCAGGCGATGCGTTGCTTGGGCTAGCACGATATGGGGGCATGCAGATCGCGTTGAGAGGTGATATGGACGAGTAACCTGGTGAGTGCATAGAGCCGATACAGGTGATGTATGATCTCTGCGACGACGAATGCAATGGGGAGTTTTGTTGCCTGAAAGGTTGATGCATGTAAGACGAGCTCATGTGCCCTGGAGAGAAAGAAACTGATGATTCCACAGGAGGAGGGTCTATAACCACTACCGATGTTGATGATTCATTAGAAGATCTGAGAAGCGGTGTTCTCTCCGAATCTGATGGCTCATCGGTGCTTGTTCTCGCATCTCGCTTACACACTGGACAAAACGTTCTCCATGAACTCAACCACGAGTCTACGCAAGCGGCATGAAACTCTGAAAACACACCCAAAAAAAGAAGCATAAGTTTGGTTTGTTCTGACTAAGCTAAGAGAGTTTTTATACTTAACTGTGACCGCAAGGTAAGACCCTGAGCTTATCCCCAACGGTGTAGTCTTCGAGGCAGATAGCGCAAGAGAAAGCTGTCGTCATGCTGTCTCCGCCGTGTACACGAGTGAATGTAACACTCGGCATTGCTTTCACCATTGTACGGCTCATCCCATGTAACTTAGATGATATAGCGTTGCTGATGCTGATATGTGTTGTGCAACGCCTGTAGACGTAGACACAAGCGGCAAGAATAACAAACGTAACCACCGACACGATCAATGCTATGGTCGCGAACAACGACCGTGCCAGTGCCGAGTCATCTACTCTAGGGACCAACATGACTTTCGTTTCCGTCAAACCAACGTACTTCTTTAGTGTTTCTCCAGCTGCTTTTGTCACAAAAACCGCTTGGATCTTTATACCGTCCGAGTCTCCCCCCACTGGAATTTTATATTCACAAAATCAAGATTTAATTTGTAGCATCGATTGGAGATTAATTAAAGACTTGTATGGTAAAGATTTTGTATACTTTCTAGTAAGATGTCACGGTCCACATCGTCATGGACAATGGCAGCCTTGAAACCGCTTCTCTGCGCGTTTCTGACTTTGTACCCAAAGTTGCAGCCTCCTCTTACGATCAACACAAAAGGAGAAGCTCCGTTAGGGCTTTGCTTCGGTTTATTCCTCAAGTTTTGGCAAGCGTCGAGAGGCTCAGCTACGTAAAGGACTCCGGTTTCTCCAGTAGCATTCATTGGTGGCGCTGAAACACGAACCTTTCATCAGCAACAGCGAATTTAACAAGTATATATAAAGTACTACTCAGAAACTCGAACAAATAGATTCAAATTATTTATGTTTTCAAGACCTCTCATCGAAAACAAGTATTCACACCGTTAAAGATAATTAGATAAAACCAATGGACAAACTTAGTGGTTTATACGACTACGAGCGTTATCGCCGTGTAATAAGTAGGGCTTCAATTTCGTTACGTGTGTGAGTGGTAGGCGACAACAAATATTGTGAAAACAACAACCGTAAGTCAAAGAATTAAGAAAGACTCACAGAAACTAGCTTCCACGTCGTCGAAAGAGAGAGTAATGTTGGGATCCATCAAAACGACTTTGCCTGCATTTACACATGAAGCAATGAAAAGGTGTGATGCTAGGAGGAGCGGAGCAACAAGATTCATCGTCTCCCACTCCCTCTTCATAAATCCAGACGATAACACTCTTCGAGGAGTTCTTTGATTGAATGGTTATGACATAATCATAATCTTATCTTCTTCTTAATAGCCTCTCAATTTTAGTTGAGATCAAAAGTTATTCATTGATTTTAATTTATAAGTTGAAATTTGGTAAATATTCAATTAGTGATTTTTTAAAACATGTTAACTATAACACGCTTTTATGATTCATATATAGTAAAACTAACAAACTAAAAATGTATAAGAATGACAGATTTTAATATATATTTTTTCTTTTTAATATTTGAAGATTTATATTTAAATGTGGAGATCTCTTATAATAACAAATCTGTATAGATTTGAGAATAATTTAGATAATATATATAAAATGCAGCTTTCACATTTGACCCAAAAAACCAAAAAAAAATCAGCTTTCATTTATATCAAAAATTTAAATAAAACCCATAACTTTTTGTTTTACCAACAACATCCATTATACCGGTTTTCAACTGCATGGTGACACATTGACATCAACCTGAACTCTAAAATTCTAAAATACAGAATTAGGTATTCAAAATGTAAAAAATATTCCCAGTACACTATGAAGTTTTAATCCCGTGTGATCGATGATACAACAACACTGTCATAAACCAGTGCGTAGAGGTAGAGCTACACCTTCACGATCATATATGTTAAACATTGGGTTGTAAAGCACGGTATTTATCTCCCAAGGTCCTCCAAAATAATTTCACCTAAACTGTGTATCAATCAATATTCAGATGAGAGAATATGAAGGGAAGATAAATGTCAATAAATTAGAATCACATCACTTGTAAACATTGTCTGTCGTTGGCAATGAAAGTTCTCATTTATATACCCTCATCACTTCCATATCATTGTTCAAACTTTTAATACATTTTTTCATTTAAATACCATTTTATATGACCCACCTAGTATAAATCAATCACCTATAGAAATTACAGTAGTTTGCCTTAGTACAAAAGTCGAGAGAAGTATACTGTAAACAAAAGAAAAAGTCGATTGTATTACAGTAATGTACACATAATTTTCAGAATTCAACCCAAATGGTAAAAACACATAAATCATAACCATTAATAGTACATAAGAGTAGTATGTTATGATGATTTATATTCCCTAATCCCTATATGACTATATGATGTGAATTGCATGGGAGTCGTAAATAATACTGTAATCTCGCTCCCGGAAGATGTACGTAACGTAGCACAACTTCTTTAAATATAAATATACGTAATTATGTATAGTTATTCTGTTTTATTCAAAATCTTCTACTCTTCATAAATCATCGGCGACGACGACGATTTGTGAAAAGAAGATGATCGTAAGAAGCAACTCCGTCAACGGCCCTCGGAAGACAAACAATGGATTCTGAAACTGCACAAGCTCTTCTACAAGAAGCATAAAGATTTACTAACCAAATCCTGTTCTTCCTCAAGGCCTTGTTTGATTCGCCGCCTATATGTTCTCCGTCTAAGATGGAGGCGCCGCCTTTGGAACACTCCACCAGCGCCGCCGTAAAGGGATCTTTCATGGCCGTCGAAGACGTGTTCTTCTTGCGGGTGTTCTTGGGGCTATAGTGTTTTCCGACGGCCGGGAGGAAGTTACTCCGGTGAGGAGGGAGAGGCAAGAGGTTGTTGGCTGATTTCCGTTTTCCGGTGACATGAGAGCTCTTTGGGTTCTCCGGGAAGTTTTTCCCATGCAAATGGGACGCCGAGCAGATGGAGAGGAGAGTCGCAGGGGAATAGGACGGACCTAGAGGAAGAGAACGATCGCCTAGAAGAAATGTTACCCGTCGACGAAAACTTAACCGGGTCGGATCGTCTGGCTCCAAATCGAGTCCTCGAAGAGTCATCCATTTGGGTTGATGTGCTGTTACTCTCGACCTCTTTTATTTGAAACTATGGAAGGTAATGACAAAGTTGTCCAAATAAGTTGTGTTTCATTTTTGTTCGGTGTCAACTTAAAAATCATTAGAAAAGTAAAATATTCATTCAATGTAAGATCATTTATTCTAGCTACCATTATCAATTTTATTGAAATTCTACTGTCGTAAATTGTACTTTTTAGTTAGCATTTTATTATAAACTCAAACTAGTGAGTACTATAGGTTAACATTCGACCCCATTGCATTGATGGATAATTAGTGGACGATGTCGGAATTCTAATTATGTACATAACATAATAACAAGTACTATATGCATGTTTTAGTTATGAAAGAGACAAATGATTTTAGTTCCTGAAGAAGACTATGCGAGTTCGATATTGTGTATTTTTTTTTTTTTTTTTTTTTTTTTTTTTTTTTTGAGAAATACGATATTGTGTATTACTTAGCATTGTTACAAGAAATGTATACATTTAGATTTCCTCTCTATAGTACAAGAAATATACACACGCATCGGAATCATGTTGTTTAATTATTGTCATTTGAGCCTATGGGTTTTTCCTCACAGTTCTCCGCAAAATCTGCGTGATCTCATAATGACAAATCCTATTCAGACACCACGTAGATAGTTAAATACTACAACATTAATTTTATTTTGATTTGGTTAGAAGTTAGAACAGTTGATTATTGTATTAGGTGAAGAAAACAATTGACTTGGATTTTTCAAATGATTATCACGTGTCAAAGTCTAGCTTGTGTGATAAATAGCTGAAAAAGATTGTTGTTTCAATAGCACAATGTGTTTATTGAGTCTTGTCGTAGGTCAAACAATAGTGAGAATGAGCACATAAATTTTTACAAAAATCAAAGACTATTTTTTTTTCTTAGTGTATTTTTTATGGTAAATAGTTATATACAATGTTTTGTAAATATAAACTACGAAAGAAAGCTATGTTTAATATTTATTGTCTCTAATTTTTCAAATAATATATATGATTTTTTTTCGTTGACAAAAAAAAAATATACAGTATATAGATAAATATGAGTTTTTTTCTTTTTTTCAGCAGATAGTAGATTAAATTAAGGCAATCACGTCCATGAACCAAACTCAAGGTCTTTACAAAAGAAACACTATTGGGGAGAAAAAATGTAGAGGAAAGGATTATGAATTTCCATTTCTGTCTTTGTCTCTCCTCCTGGTTCCGCCTCTGTCACCATCTTCAACACTTTTCTTGAAAATTTGTAACCCAATAACAACGGCATGTCCAACAAGTGCCTTGATCCAGACATTAGCTAAACTGTTCTCAGTTGTGATTGTGCTTGTAAAAGACTAAAAGAGCACACTGACCGAACTTACAAACACTTTTCCCTGACATTGTTTCACACGCCGATCCTATGCTGATTATATGAGATTTATTCGATAATATTCTATATAATGTATATAGATTTAGAAAACAATTAACAGATTAAGGAAGACAAACTGTGAAGGAGTTCATGCTGTTATCGGATCGTTAACAAAATGCCGCTGCCTATTACAAACTACAGCGTACTATACAAACCCATGAAATTATTGGGCCTGGCCCATTTTTATTACAATAGTATTTTCAACTTTCATCTTGTCGTGTCCTCTCTGAAGTCGTTTTCTTATCTTCCCCACAATTAATGTACTACATTAGCAATTTGACGCTGTGTTTTGTGACTTTTTGTCTTTCGATTTAATCTAAAACAAATACATGAAATGGGTCATTTAGATTATGAAACAACAATTCATCATATATGAAAAACTTAAAATTATTAAATGAGACTATGAGAGACACCTAGCAACCAACTGTTAGGAACAAACAAAAACGAGTATACTGTATTATGTTTGCGTTTCTGTTTTCATACGTTAGTATACTTAATCCTTATAACATGCATGCATGACATCACCAACATCGACCGGTGACCGCAGAGAAACTATCTAAGTAGTTCGTTCTACGTTTTAAGTTTCATGTGCGTTTAAATTTTTTGAATGTATAAAATATTAAAACGATAATACTACTGCGTCGGCATTTAAACGCCAAACACTGCGTCTGCGTTTCCTTCACCTATCTCTCTCACTCTCAATGTCTGAACTAAGATACAGCTGTAAAACACTCTAATGGCAAAGATATCATTAAGACATTACCTTCCAAAGTACATATTTGCCTCTTTCTTTATACACATATTAAGTACGTTTGTCTCCACACTCGTGTGTTGACAAGTCAGTGAAGTCACACATATTACATTACAATCTCTTTTTTCATGTAACAGATTTGATTCAGATCTAGATTTAATTGAACCAGGTTTGAATTTTCTTCCTCTTCCGTGCACACTGTCACTAGTCATATATCCTCCAAAGCCAAAACTCCAACACTTTACAGCAAAACGCAATCTAAAATCTGTGATTTATGTTTTGTCCAGCGATGAAAGTCTATGCATGTGATATCTATCCACCAGGAGTTTTGTTTTTTTCACAAAATAAAAAACAAGAGACAAAATAGCTGAAATGTATCTATATATAGAACCGTACTCACAGCTTCTATATCCACACAAACACTAGACACTACTTCAAAGCCTCTAAAGACACTATAGCTCAACCCATAAGATGAAGAAGATGAAAGTGTTGGCTTTTGTTATGCTCATCTCTCTTCTTCTGCTTTCTCAGGTATACACTGTTCAAACCCACTTTTCAAGATTAGTTTCTCTCTTGTTTCAAACATACTAATTAAAAATTTGATTCTTCACAGGTACTTGCAGAGCTATCTTCATACAGCAATGCTGAAACTTCCTCTGTTTCTCAGGTAATAAGTGATACTAAACAAACACTAAACAGACTTTCTAGAGAGTAAAAGTAGTAACAATTCAACTTATTTTGTTGCTAAACAGATTCAGACGAACGACGAGATCGAAACGGCTGCGTTTAAGAAAACACACCACCGTCCAAAATTCAGTTAGTAACACTGATCCTCTGTTTTCAGCTTTTTTCACAAGTACTTTAGATTAACGAGGAGCCAAAAAATCTGTAGATTGTGGGCATGCTTGCGCGAGGAGATGCAAAGAGACGTCAAGGAAGAAAGTGTGTCACAGAGCTTGTGGAAGTTGCTGTGCCAAGTGCCAGTGTGTGCCACCGGGAACCTCCGGCCACACAGCGTCATGCCGTTGCTACGCCACTCTCCGTACTCATGGCAATAAGCTCAAGTGTCCTTAAAAACCTTCACAACTCTACTATTGTATCCTCTCATCTTCTAATTAATTATGTTTCTTTGTGTGAGCTTATTTCCATTAATGTTTTCATAATTATTCAACTCTAAGCATTTGTATCGATTCCCAATAATAAGATGAGTGGTTTTATTCGTTAACATAGCTTTGGTTAACACAAAAACAAGTTTCATTTTCACATTAACATAAAATCTCCTTACAAATTACCATACAACAAACAAACAAACAAAAGAAAGCAAGAGAGGACAGAGACGAACGGTTCTTGCCTTCTTGGTTTTGAGTCACCGTTTCTTGGGCTTGACCGCCACAACGTCTTTATAGAGCTTAACGCGATCCTTCAACCCATCTCGTCGAGGACGAGCCACCTTGTTGTTAGGATCAAACAACAAAACCTCTTCAAACGCTCTCAACGCCTGAGGCAGCTCTTTCTTCTTCTCGTAAGCATCTCCAAGGTTGTTCCAAGCTGTTACATAACCTGGCTGCAGCTTCACCGCCATTTCAAACTGAGCGATCCCTTTGTCCAGTTTCTCCTCTCGCACGTAACTCACTCCAAGAGCGTTATAGACCTATCTCCACCATAGTATTTAACAATGTCAATTTAGTAGCTAGATACACTGTGTGTGAGTGTGTGTGTGTGTGTAAGTTTATTAGTTACCTGGGCAAGATCTTGATCGTCACCATCCCATTTCTGGATGGCTTGAAGCAAGAACTTGTTGGCTGCAGGATAAAACTTCCTTCTCAGCATCACCGCACCGAGCTCGAACAGCTCTGTTGCACTTGCATCGCCGCTCCTCACTTGCTCCTTGAGAACAAAGATTTGATTACTTTAATGAACAAATTATAACAAAGAAAAGTGGTGTTTGTGTCCTTGAGTTACCTGTAATTCTTTAGCGGAGAGGTCAAGTTCTCTGCGGACAAGTACTTGACGGATGACATAGAAAGTACCAACTCCGAGCAGACCCAGTAGTAACAGCAAGTAGGAGAGCTGAATGCTTAGCTCAAACAACTCTCCAACTTCGTAAACCGGTTCTGGCTTCGTGATGATTTCTGCTGCTGCTGCTAACTGTGGGTTAGCAGAGAGCATCAAAACGCTCTGCCCCAGCAGAAAGGTAGATCCTTTGCTTGGTAGCTTCTTCAAGAAAGCTTTGCTCAAAACCGGTAAACCTCTTGCAGAAACTTCTGCAGACGGCATTTAAGAAAGTAGATTCACAAATAGTGAGGATATAAAGACATCTGAAGCTGGTGGATCAACACATCTAGGACTAAAAAAGTATAAGATATCACAAATAAAATCAAAATAGTTTCAGATGCTGATGGATACAAAACTGGTTAAAGTGATGAACTTTTTTTTGCAAAATTTCCCCCAAAACTATAGCACCTATGTTTTGCTATAAAGTGAATCTAAATATCTAGAATGTAAAGCAGGGAAGAGAAGAAGAAGAGGTGAAGTACCATGAAAAGATCGAATGGCCAAAGTCCTTCCATGTATCTGCCTTCAAAACATGGAGGAAGATTAGCAAATTCCATGAACAGTCCACAGAGAAATGTAAACAAAAATACATAAAAGCCAAGAAATTCTCAGTAAAGAGCGAACAGAGAAACTCATTCAACTTATTTGAATCCCTTGTAATCAGATTCCACTTAAATTATGTGGTTCGAATGTTAACAAGTTCCTCATCAATGAAGTTTAAGAGTCTCAAAATTCCTAAAATTATCAGCTAACTGATCCGGAAATCGAAAGGAAGAGAGCAACGAGGAGTGTTTACCTGAAGAGAAAGCTTCTTGGGGGAGAGCTTAAGCGACCCAGAAGAAGAAGGGAGAATCTGTGAATGGTGGAGATAGAAACGGTGAAAGGGCGGAGAAGATGAAGATACCGTTTGGAGAAGCATGTTCGATTCGATCATAAATTCTGCGTAACCGCACTGAAAATTCCGGCGAGATTACTCTGAAAGTGTGAAATCGAAATCGTTCTGAGCAAGTGTGTGTGTGAAGAAGATAAAAGAAGAAGATAAGGCCCACGTTGCTCTTCCGGTTTCCGGTTTTAGCCCTTCTCGACTCTATTTTGTTACGTTTATGTCTTACTGTATTAAAATCTTCATACAAAATATTAATGTGGGCATTTTTAATTATATCATGCGTTTAATTGTAGTTGTTAGTTACAAAAAAAAAACCATGTTTAATAACTCAAGGCACACAAAAAAAAATTAAAAATATTTTTTCTTCATAAAATTAAATACAATCTAACTAATCATAAATTAAAACAACAGAAAAATATAATTGGTAAAAATTGAATAGAAATGTGAAAACAAATTAGATTTTGAAACAAAAGTATACTTCTGAAACACATACTACAACAGGCCTTTTTATGTACCCAACAGCATATGGTGTGGGCAATTATTGAGACCTATAGGAGAAAGCTTAAAACAATTTATTTATGATGGTAAGAAATTCAAAGGAAATACATAATAACACATTTGGATCAACACCATACATAATAACACATTAGGATCAAAGAGAGGCAATACTTTCAACGTATTTTGGTGAGATAGAGACGCAACATTCGTCTATGAGACCAAAACGGCGCCTAAAACATCTATTGTCTCTCTAAACATTCCTTGTCGTCTTCTCTCTAAACATCTTCCAGAAGGGTTGGACAAGGAGTGACATTGATTTTCGGGTAAAGTTCTATCAATAGTCACTCTCCCAAACCACAACATTCGTAGCAGCCTTGATTTAACTTAGCCTCAAATCTTGATCTTTGGGTAGATGCTCCACATAGTCAAGATCATGTGGATGTGGCTGAAGTGGTTGATTTTCATGTGGTTGTTGTAGCTGAAGTATTTGATCTTGATGTGGCTGAGGGGGCTTAACTCGTTGTGGCTGATCAAGCTGCGGTTCAACATGATCCAAATCTATTGTCTTGTTGTTATTCTCATCATACACAAAATGTATAACAATTGTAGTCCTTTTGTGTCCAGCCAGTTTTCTTTTTGTCTTGAGTGACGTAGTCTAAAACATCAGAATAACCTATAGCTTGTACCTTTTTTGGTGGGTCTTTTCGATCTATACTTCTATATTCCTTTGCCCGGATTCAATTGTATGGATATGTCTGGCTTTAGTGACTAAGGACCAATCCTAGCTCTGACAACAAAAAAACAGAATGAATGGTTTGGTAGGATAATTTGTCTCCATTAAAGCCATTGTGTAGAAATTGAAGTCACGAATGAGAACATATGCCATCCTTTCTCCTCTTCAACGAGGGAAGATCTTCGGTCAGTTCATGTTCTGAAGGACAGAACCTAACTCACTTTTCTGCAATATATAACTAATTTCAATTCAATTCTTGGAGTCTAGCAGTTTGTGGTTTTTTCCAGCAATTGAAAAAAGATTCAAGTTTTTAAAGGTTTTTCCCTTCATAATAGCTGAAAGATAATTCAAAGGAGAACTTGGAAGTTGGAATGGAGGAGACAAGTCCTCGGTTAAAGACATCCGGTTTTTGAAAATCTTCGAAGATCAATGTTTTAAGTATTTTTTAAACGTGGTTGACATTGGTGGTCAGAGAAAAGAAACACATTTGACTTTGGTTTTTGGTTGATGACATTGTGACTTTGGAACCAACCAGAACCCAAATCTAGAAAGCATTCATGGTTGGTTTTAATAGCCCATATTGTAGTCCACTTCCGGTCACGCCAAAAAAAAATTAAAGTTTCATTAGAAATCAAAATTGTGACCGAAGTTCACATGATTTCGTCTAGGACCTGTCGTGATTTTGCTGATCACGGTGCTGTTTTTCAGGTGGCTGCTGCTAAAGCTCCGACCACCATGAAGGAGATTCTAACGGTAAGTCTATTTCTTTTTTCTTAATTTCAGATCCGCTTTCGTTTCTGCTTCTCCCTCTCACGGTAGTTTAGTTTGGAGAATCGAGACTGATTTCAAATAAGCCTTGGGTTGATCGAAGCGTTACTTCGTTCGTATAGTAAATGCTTGTTTACGAGTAAGATGCATGCTTCTTGATTCCCTGTTACTTTCTTGACTCTAAAGGCTTGCAACACAGGCTGAAATAAACAAGCATTTCAGCAAAGTTTAGGCAGCAAAGTTTAGAGAGTTTGTTTCTGTCAGGGTTCGATCTATGAAAGCTTTTTTAGTATGGGGAACAATGAAATCTTAATATTCAAGCCTTACAGAGGTAACAAAAAGTAAAATAGACTCCAAATTAAAATTCAGTTACAAAAAGAAGGGGAAGATAATGGGTTTAGGTAAAATACAAACCAACCCAAGGAGTTTAATTTCCCCTCTTTTGTCTTTTTTATGTAATAACACTATTGGTTTTATGAGAGAAACAGAGCCAATCAAACACTGCTAAAACTTAATGAAATCCCATAGCTCCAGCTTTGAACGCAGGAGCGTCCGGTGGCGGTGAAGGCAGTACCGTTAACGCCAATACGCCACTCACCGCAGCCGCAATCGCTCCTAAGACAAACGCTGGAATGTTTCCGCCACCGAAGAGTTCATCGAATGGCCCGCCTCCCACAGATACCACCATCTACGTTTTAAGCAATCAAAAATATAAATCAGCCACAACATTTTTCATTTATTATTAAATAAATAAAACTGACTTCAAACTGTTTTACCTGTGGGACGACAATAGCCAGGTTCAGCACACCTAGAGAAAGTCCTGAGGAATGAAAGATTACAAATCTATTAGTTTAAAAAACTTAGTATTTCAGAACTACAATTTTTCTTAGGTGTGTCGTGTGTAGTAAAACTTTAATTTGAGTAGAGATATTTTGTTGTTGTAAATATGGTATTATTCCATTTCCTTATGGGTTAGTGAAGCCCATATATTTTAATAATTTAATATCGGTTACTTATAGAAACATCTCAATAAGTTATTGAATTACGTATTCAATGCTTTTAGCTTTTTAAGGTCCCAACACTTTAAGAAGATTGTAGACATGTATATTATCCAAAACAAAAAGGGTAATTTTATAATAACTAAACAACTCAAAAAAAGAAACTTTACCTTGGCCGGCACCGGAATTGGTTGAAAATATGGAAGCTAGAGCAAAGGGAATACTGAACGTAATCTGCAATTGATAAAAATTAGAAAATTTGGTCAAATAAACGTTATTAATTAATTTATTTCCTAATATTTTAAAATAATAATTAGCCAATTGATAAAAAAGTGTAAAATTACAAACATCACTTACCGCTTGAGGAATACCGAGGACTGCAAACAGAGTTAAAGCACCAGCTGTGACGCTACCAGGCGGTCCTGTTTTAGCGCCGCCGTGATCTCGCCGGTGATTCTCCGCCTGTTTGGTCACCAGAACCGTCATGGCCAAGCAAATAGCAAGGATGAAGTTAACAGCTCCCCAAAGCCTTTTCGCTCCTCCCATCTTCCGACCAATCCATTCAACACCAAGAGACATGAAACCAAGAACGATCGCGTTAAGCATAAGCCCCACCGCGCCAGCTCTTACTCCGTCGCCGTAAAGCTTTGCAGCGCTTTTGCTCGCGGTTGCGTCTGAGCTTCCTCCGTACACCTCACGGCCCATCCAGTCAGTGTCGAAGAGCAGGAAGGGGAACCAAGCGATCCAGTTTAGTGCAGTGACTATAAGTAGCATCCACATCGGTCTTTTCAACTCCTTGAACGCTCCGAATATCTCTCCGAAAAACGGAACGTTCGAGGCTTTCCCGTCGGCGGTTGGCTCCGGCGTCCATTGCTTCTCATCCACGTAACAGAGCGAGACGAAAGTGACTAAGAGGAGAAGCGTAATGGAGAGGAAGAAACACGTCTTGAGGTTTGCACAATAGGTATTGCATGACTCGGTCAACGTGAAAGGGACAACCTTGTAGAGACTCTTGTAAGAACCCGCCGCGTAACCTAACACGTTTCCGACCGCCATGAAAAACGAGAAAAGCGCGTTTGCGGTCCGCGTTTTCTTCGCGTTTCCTGCGGATAAATCAGCCAAGAAAGCTCGGCATGGTCCTTGCAAGGTATTGTTAGCAACGTCAAGAATCCAAAACCCGAGAGCGAAGATCGCTATAGCTCGCGTTCTCGGCGGTTTGTCAAGCTTATCACCCATGCTATGACCTATATCGGCGGCGTAACCGATAAGGAAAACAGCAACGGCGACTAAACCAGCTCCGGCGACGATGAAAGGACGGCGACGGCCAAATCTTGAGGTACAACGGTCACTATGGTAACCGACGACGGGCTGAACAAGCATACCGGAGACTGGGCCACAGAGCCAAATCAGAGAAGCCCATTTATGTGGGATTCCAAGTAGCTGCACGTACGGTGTCAATAGAGATAACTGCAAAGCCCAACCGAACTGAACACCGGCGGCGATGGAAGCCACCGATATGATTTTTCGAAACGGTGATGGCTCAGCTAACTCAGCTGTCTGCGTCTCCAGCGCCGCCGCACCGTTCGTAGCTTTCTCCATCTGATGTCCGACCATATTTATAATCAGAAGTAGAAAAAAAGAAACAAAATGATCAACTTTGTTTTCAAATCTTGGTTTTTCCGGTGATTGTTTCCCGGTGTGTTTGGTGGTGGAGGAAGAGGGAGAGTTAAGAGGTATTTATAGGGAGAGAAGGCAGCATAGGATTATCCGAAGAGGAGACAAGTGAGAGTTTAGGAGCCTTGAAATGAAGAAGAGGTAGTGACACGTGTCTTTCTTACATTAAATATCTGTTTTTCTGTTTCTTATTATTTTAGGGTCATATTAATTTCTGTTTTTGGTACTTAATTCTTATCGTGATTTCACTCTCTTCACACTTACGATCTACTGATATGGACCTTCGATTCTCTCTGACAATTTTTTTTCCACCTTTTTATTTATATATTAAAGTAATAGTTAAAATTAAATGTGAATGTATTTGAGAAAAAAAAAACCTGAAGCAAGAAATACGGATAGAGAAAAGTGAGAAGTAACATGTAAGAGCATATACTATGTTGATAGATTATTCGGATTGAATTTATTTTGTAATTTTTAAATTAGGTAAAGAGAAAAAGAGAATATAACTTTCGAATTTCGATCTGAGCGAGTGGCACTAGAATATTTTTCGGTGTTATATATATTTTTGTTATAATAAATTATTGTTATTTTTTTTTCAGGAGTATTGTTAGAAAAAAATTCATTATGGTTTTGGAGAAATAATAAAGGAGGTTGTCTTAAATTGTGAAGATAAATTGACTTATCTTCAATTCTCTGATCCACATTTAAATGAAGATAAGCAAGGCATATTTGTCGATATTACGATCAAAATGCTTGTCGATAATTTCTTCCGTTATCTCTGAAGTCTCACAACTACATGCAATGTTGTGGACTTGACCACTAGTAATAAATATGTGATGTAAATTTATGTTCTCGTTCCTTAATTTCAGCAGAATTTAACAAAAAATCTCGAGAATATTTAAATATTATCCCCTAGGTAGTAGTTAATTTTCCAGCTATGTAGGAGTATAACTATGCGGAAAATTGTTGTTTTGGTTAGAAAACGATGATTTTGGCTAATGGAACGAAGCTAGCTTCTTATGGATGTACATCTCAAGATGATTTTTTGTTAGTCTACCTCAAAATGAATTGCGTAAAGTCGTTCTGTTTTGATGGTGTCAAATGATGTAGATGAAATCTGGAAAAATAGATCTGTCCTGTCGATTATTGAGACCTTGTGATAACGTTTTAGTTGTTAGTGGGTAAAATCATCCCCGTAGTCTTGTGACGAAATCATATATAACTTGTCAACATACAAGCTATTTTCAAATTCAACGGCTATTTGATTGTCCGTTTACAAAGAATGGCAACAAAAACTAGATAAAATCAGGAGAAATTTTTGGAAGTTCAAATTAAATAAATAAACTTGCACCCACTAACAATAACCCAACTTATAAAAAAGGAAAAAACAATTTAATAAAAGCTGGTAAATGTCTCCCACATAACAAAGTGGACACTGTATCATTGCAGTTCATATGCATTTGATTTTGTGGTCCATTTTAATAATAATAATACAAAGTAACTAGTGTGTGAAGTTAATATGAAACAACATTTTATTTATAATGGCCTTGTACGTAGTTTTATTAATTCCAAAACATTAGGGTCGGAAATTGGGACCCCAAAGGAAGGTTGTAGTTAGTTTGCGTCCATCATTGTGCACCCGTAGTTGATTATGACTCGGCAACATGTTTTTTTTGCCTCAATTCTCTTTTATCAACATCTAAATTACGAGAACATAATATTCTTTCTTTTCATCATTTGAATACAATACTAAAAAATAACTTGATAAAATTTATATATGTATAGTATCTTTTAAAAATACTTTCAAAATAAGTATTTGAGGATCTCCACATTGAATTAAGGAGGGGAAAAATGATAGAAAAAAAATACTCCAAAGTAGGGCAAGAGTAGATAATAAATTATACTCAAAAAGATGTTAGGGTTTATTAACTCGGAAATCAATTTGTCCGAAAGACAAAAGTCTACATATTTTGTAGAAAAAAGTTATAGATAATTCATTAAATAATGAGTCAGAGATTTCGAATGACGTGGTGTTGATCAGTTCTAGGGATCGGCACATTGTGGCATTACTGGAATAAAGGAGCGAGAGTAGCTGTTAACTCATTGACCTCTCTGTAACTATCTTAAAACGATTTAATTAACGGTCACTCCCACTTTCCAATTAGAAAATATATCTGATTCAACATTATGTTTTTATCTAGTTGTCTACGTTTTTTACTTTTTTTTTTCTGTTTTGGTTGGAAATATAGTTGTCTAAGTTATATCCGTTACAGAAAAATATATATTCAGAAATAACAAGAGTTGGATTTGTACTTTATTTTTATGCGTTTAAAATTTTGAACTAATCTCAGATGTTTTTACTCTTTGGTTAGCAAAAAAAGTACTATGTTTTGTCTTCTATTTTCAACTCTTGGTTCGATATTCCCAATGATGTTTTTTTAATCATACTAGTTTGAATGAATTTTTTCAACCTTTTGAAGATTATCAATCCATACCAATTTTATAAGTGAAATTTTAGTTTGAGATGAGTTAAGAGTCACAAGGACGTGTGTAAATTAGCTTTAATTAGTTTGAAATGTATGTATCTAATACTAATAAAACATAAGTCACCTCATGATTTATATAAACGACACGTATCCATTTCATTTGTTAATAATATTTTTTTTATATTTTTTGTTTTTCCGTTGATAGTTTTTTTTTTTTTTTTTTTTTTTTTTCAGATTATGAATTTTTTTTCCCAACCACAATCTCTTCAACTTCCAAACCACGATCTCCTTCAATTTCAATTTCCGAAACGATGACCTTCTCTTTCAGTTTTCAACAATTTCTGAAACCACCATTTCCTTCCGAAAACCTTCGATTTCCTTCCGAAACCCCAGTTTTCTTTTTCTTAATCCAGATCTCTAAATTCAACTTCCTCCTTTCACCATATTATGTTCTCTGCAATGTAATTTTCCCTAATATAGTTTTTTCAAACGTATAACCAAGTCTCTTCTTCTTAAATCAGGTATCTCTATCTTTCTCATCAAAATTTCTCAGTCATCATTTTTTTGTTATTGTCTTAATTGAATTTCGCAGGTTGATTTGGAGTTGATTTGCTGAAACAGAAATTGTTATTGTCTTCATTTGGAATCAAAAATCAGAAATTTTTCCTCTTTCATTTTCCAAGGCAGGTAACCCATATGGATTCTGGGTTTTCTTTCCTCCGCTTAATCACAAGCCTTGCTTTAATCTCTAATAGAAGTTTTGAATCTGCTTCCGATTCTAATCCTCGAATCCTGAGTGCTGTTTTGGTTCATGTATTCATAAATTTGACTGCTTCCGATTCTAATCTGCTTATTGATAAACCATGAGTTTTATGATATTGGATACTAGGATCAGTTGTGAGAATAATTAGCTTAGTTTCTCCCGTTCCAAGTAATTGAAATTATTTTCCACAACAGTTTTTTCCTTATATGTTTAAAACAATGGCAGATTCAATTCAAGGACATACACTTCTGACTAATTCAACGATATGGTCTATTCTTCTCTACAAGGTCCTTTTCCTCTTTTTCTATTTTTTCTTCTATGGCTACTTTCCTGTGTTTATGGATATTTTTTGCTCAGATTTCTTAGTTTGTCGAAGCTTATAAAATCTTCATCATTTAACCAGTAAAAATATACGTTTAAGGTTGCCATTGATAAAATATGTTTAAAATACAATATTTAGGTTTATTATTCAAAAAATTGTTTATCTGTTAAAAGCTACATCTAACTGTTAGTTAGCTATTTAGTTCAGGGGAGGGCATCACCGGAGGAATCAGAGTACGCGGTCTTGATGTGGGCAATGCACTGCTGGTCCTACAGTTGAGTTTGAATGTGAAAATCTTATTATCAATAGACATATCAATGGCAAGGTCAGCTAGGAATCTGAAGCTCGAAATTATGTTGGTGGAATCAATTACTGGAGTCACATGCTTAGTTCTGTTAAGTATTCTTTTATGAATCGTACGTCTAATGTTTGTGCTCATAGCTTAGCTAGACAAGCTTTATCATTCCAGAATCTCTGGTCAATTTTTTCAAACATTTGTATCTAACGATTGTTCTATTCAGTAATCAATGAACCATTTTAGCTGTAAAAAATAAAAGTTGTTTGGTTACAAATCAGATTTAAGCTTTTACATTCTAAATTGAACATACATGTCCGTGCATGGCACGGGGTAATACTAGTATTTTATATTTCAAAGTAAAGAGAAGTGAACACCAAACTCGACAATGATAACAAAAGGGAATATCACAGCTACAAAATCAATAAAGAAAAGGGAGAGCAAAATACAAACTCGGATAATTAAAAGAAAAATGAAGATAAAGTATCGGAATGGTCGGTAGAAAAAAAGAGAATAATAATTAACGAATTTCTGAAAAACAAAACGCAAAACACAAAAAGAGAAAATACACGTCACCAGGGGAAAGAGTGAGGTTCACGCGCTTCGAACAACGGAGGGAGAGGTTACGTGCGCAAAACGGTTAAACTCCGCTAAGTCAAAGAGAAAGAAGTGTGGTCCATTCGGAGACTTCGTTGACTTTGAGAAAATTAATACACACCTTCACGGACAAAAGAGTTTCATACATTTGACTGTTGTGTCCTAAAATAAGTAACGGCTAACGGACATAGTCTCTTCTTCTTGGAAAACGGGACAAATGTCCGTATATACATACATGCAGATGCAGTGAGTAATTTGTCTTCCGCTTCGTTTGGTAGTTTTTCGTCTAGTAACGTCGTCCTTTATAAGGTCTTACTTAATCTAACCATCAAAGTGATCGATAAGCTGAGGTTATCATAATCGAGTGGTTGCAATTAGAGTTAGCTTGAAAACCAATCGGAAATCTCAATTTATTGTTAACATTTGATTAAACTACTCTTTTGTTTGGATTTGTGTATAAAA